GACGGCGAAACTAAACTTCACAGTCAAGAATGAACCGAAGCACCTCGCCTGACCAGACGCAACATCTTTCTTTTTTATATCCTTTCTATTAGACCCATACATCCCATGCATCCGCCACATTGCACATCTCGTGAGAGACTGATCCCCACCACCGACTACAAGACGCGCAGCGATGTCGTCGTCTAAATGGCAAAATTTAACTTCACAATCAAGAATAAAGCCAAGAACTAGTCAAGCCACAGTAACCGAGCTCCGAACACCAAGCTTGGCGAAAATTACCTCGCTCGTCCAGATCCAAAATTTCTTTTTTTTCTCTTTAAGTACTAAATGCTAAAACCTGTTGTTTCCTATTGTATTTTAAAACTTGCAATATGTATATTATTATATATATATATATGATCTGCAAGTTAAATATATATTACTTAAAAAAAAGAAAAAATAATAAATTCTTCTCGAGTTTAACATGATAAGAATGGCCATTATTGCAGAATTGCTCGAACATTCAGAAACTTAGCAATAACTATATGTAATTTTATTCAGATGTACAGTTTTATTAAATTTACGTTTAAAATTTGCTTTCAAAAAATTAGAACACGTTTATTTTGAACAATTATTTTAAATTATTTATGACAATATTCTAAAATTAATATGTATACATTTATATACGTCAATATTATACTTTTACGAAAAAAATATACGTTTGGCCAAATTATTTTTTAATTTCCAAATATATTTTAATTTTAGGATTTCTGTTTAATAATATATAAAGAAATTAATATAAAGACGCACATTATAATATTCTAGTTTTGTTAAATTGTAGATTAAAATTTAATTTATCTGACACAGTTTGAAAATGATCAAAAATTTAACCCTACTAAATTTTGAACACATTTAAATATCTTTTTAATATACAATAATAATTGTTTCTATATATATTTTAAATCTTTTGCTTCTTAATAGATGCAAACCGTTTTTGCATAAAAGTATAGACGATAATGCTTAAAAATTTTCAAATCATTGATAATTAAAAAAAAATTACCATCTAATCTATAAACATTGTAGCGTAGACACTAATATTTTTTTTTTAATTTTCCGCCAACTTTTTTATAAGATACACTTATAATTATGCGACGCATGTTTACATAAATGCTCACGAAACTTATTCCTAACGATATTGCGCATAAACATATACAACACGTGCGTTTACCTAGCTACTCCGTAACATTTTCCATTAATGAGTCTTCTCACGTGCCTGTGTACAACTTAAAATGTTATGACTTCGTACTGGAGACTATTTCGCTAAAACGTATGTACCATTTTAAATATGGAGCTTTAGAAAGCTCTGTATTTGGGTTTCTTTTCTATTTAATTCTTTGTATGTCGACTTTTGTATAAATATTTAACTAAAAAATATTAATAATTACATTTAGAAAAATTATTTATTCAATTGTTGATGAATGATATCTCAGAAGAAGAAAATATTACGATAAAAGAATAATATTCAAACACTATTATGCACTCTACGTAACGTTGCCATTCGACAAGGAACAACAATCAACTTTGATGCAACTATACATTAACGATAGTGAGTCCGTTCATCGAAACTGTACCACTACATAACTCTGGTGAATCCAATATGGTAAAAGCGAGTAATGCTTTTTCGCTACCGTGTTTCCTTCGATAAATGGATGCATCGTCCTTTTATAAGAGAAATCTATTACTTCAAACGTACAAAGTGGAAGCCAACTATGCGCATAATTTGTAAAACACCACTCCGGATACAAAATTATTATTCAAATATGAATATAATCCATTTTTGCTCCGTATGTGTTATTCCGTTTTATTGATATAATATATCAAAGCTGTAAATATATAACAAGGACTGAGAATCGTTCGCTTTCTCGCGAACGCTGTTAGTCAGCAGTCTTTGAGTCTCTGTAACCGGTATCTGCTCGATGAATTATCGGTATTTGAACATAGAGTCCTGCACTGTATACAGATTTTGCATGTATATATATATATATATATATATATATATATATATATATATATGCGTGGACGGCTTTAATCGACCGATTTCGAGCGCAGGTCGACGTCGGTCGACGTCGGTCAAAGTTAGAAGCCGGTTAACCCACATGACCAGAGGGCATTGCCGTTGCACCGACGCGGTTGGTGTCTTTGACTCGCCCCTGAAACCGTAACCCGCCGGCGCAACCCCTAACCCACCTCGTGCAAACACTATCCCCTTCCGTTAAGATTAGCGACCGTGCAGGAGTGAACGCTTACTCATGTCTTCTCTCTCTCTCTCGCTCTCTCTGACCTGCATAGCGCGTGTGTCCCGATCAAGTCGACACGTATCGATGCATATACATGCAGAGGCACGAGCACGCGCTTGAAGCAACAACTTGCTTGGCGTGAATATTAGATTTCACACTTCGTGAAGATGTCGCGCCGTAATGATACGTAATAGCGCATGCATAAAGAGGAAATAAGCGGCACGGAACTGGTTTACCAATTTTCGGCGCGATGCGCTATTTCGAGATCACGTACTGATCAAAATAGTTGTAGTAAAACGAGAAGTTATAATAAAAGTATTTTTAAAGATGATGTATTAATTTTTCAGTTAATTTAAGCCAAAAACATTTTGAAAATTATATGTGTAGATCTTTCATTTATATCCTTATACTTTGTTCGAAGAAGAGAAAGAAAGCTGAGGTTACATAAAAATAGATCAAAATTATGTAAAAACTATTATTAATTTACACACTTTAATGAATTTCAACTCTATATCTACGTAGAAAAAAACTAATTAAACCGAGCTTTTATATTGATCAGTTTTTAATTTAATTAATTCTTTTATTTTGAATTCATAATAGCTACTAATAATAGCTACGCTTTTAAAGAGAAAAACAGAGAATTAATAACAGTTACGCTTTTAAAGAGAAAAACAGAGATTTATTTTGATTCGTATTAATAATAGACTGCAAATAGACAGACCTGGTTAAGTCAAGTTTTTCGAGAGGGATGAAAATCCTATTATCCTCATGCTTAACGATCAACACGACGAGGCGTTGCTAGAATAAGGCGCAATATCGAAGATACGCGAAGTTTAGCTAATTTTAGTTTAAAGCTACCATAAGCTCGACGACTGCACGTAGAGCCCTGTGTAATCTCGCTGTTAATCGGTTGCGTGTATTAAATCCAAACGCCAGCCGGATTAAAGTTCCAACACGTACGAGGGACTGTCATGACTTGGTGCTATTCGCCGACGGAATAATGTCCAACAAGTACGAAATAGCAGTAGCTGAAGGATGGCACGTCAATTTTATAATAGAACAATATATTGTATATGGAGTACCTTAGCTTTTTCTTGCAAAAAAAGTAAAAGCAAAAAGGAATATCCTAACTCAACAGAAGAAACAATCTAATAGTGTATGTATAAAAATTAATTGTATCTAAATAAATAATAAAAAGATATTTTGAATAATATTAATAACAAATATTATTTTAAATTATTTTCTATAAAAGATATGTGATCCACCTTTTATTTTAATACAAATTTAAAATTTTTATAGCATAAAAATATTTATATATAAATATCTAATTTATATAATAAATACTTGTCTCTATTTCATGGAAATTAATACAAGAAATTATAACTGAACATCTTTTCTTTAAATTTGTTTTTAATTATATACACTTATATTTCCCTTTCAAACTTTATTCTAAATTATTCTATCTTTATTTTAAATATTTTATTATTTATCCCGCTAAATATTATTTGTGGCGGTATCTTTTGAAGGAAATGGATAAACTCAAATCAATACAAACGTTGCCGGCTTATAACGAGTAGAAAACCATGGATACTAACTGTAGATATTGCTATTGACTGCTGATATCTCAATTTTTGATATCGCAAATTAATATAAACAAAAAATATAAAATAAGCATAGTCGCATTATAAATTGCTGTATTTTCCATTTTAATTTAATTATGATATAAATATCCGTTTTAACTAACATTTTCATCTTTACCGACAAATGTTACATATACGACGCGATGCTTACAAGAGCATAGCACGGCAATGCTCATTAGAAAACAATAAGATAGTAAATCATCATCTAATCATTTCTCTAATAATAAATTAATATAAAATAATTTAATATTATTCAATTTATTTTAATTAAAAAGTTAACTCTTTCTCTCTCCTTCTGTTCATATATTTTATCTAAATTTGTATAATCTAGATGCTAGTCCTATGTAATAGATAAATTCTACTTCACAATTCGACTGATGATTTTGATGATGTTAGCAAAACAGTACTAAGTATATACAAAAGATGGAACAACGGATAGCATAATTATATTTATGATAAAATGCAAGACTTTTTTTTCCTCATATACTAAACATAAGATGCATAATATTATTCATATATATCATTTTTATGCCTTTGCTTATTATTGTGCAAGTGCAAGTAATAATAATAATCTTGCAGAGCAATAATAATTATCGCGACAACAGAAGAACACAAAAAAATTGTATATTTTCTACTTCGAATTCATTTGCATCCGAATCGTTTTATTAGTAAAAATTATATTGTTATCGCATAATAAGCGAAAGTTAATTGATAAATATATAACGCAAATAATCAATGAGATTATAGAATACATAGATATATTTTTCACGATGAGATAATATAATTATTTTAAGCAAGTAAAAAATAATTAAATAACTTATATCATTTTTATAACGTGAAAATCATTTTACACTAAAATAAATCATATAATTAATAGAAAATATTAATTCATGATTTCAATAATTTGTATTATTATTAATTATTTTTACTGTGTTATTAATATGATCTATTTATTGTATGATCCATATATAATCTCTATATTATTATGATCATCACATATATATTATATATCACATATTAGTGTTTTAATCAATATGATCACAAGATGGTCAATTGTCAAATAAATTTTGTTTACAATCAAATATATTTTGAATATTGAAAAAGTTCTTTTTTCACTTGTATTCAACAAAAAGGTATATTATAACAGTTTATATTGTGCCGAGGATTTATTCAAAAATGTCCTTTACACACACATACACACAATGGCAACAACAATTAAATTAATTCATTTTAAATGTCATTGAATAAACTATTACATCTTTTGTCAGGATTTTATTTTCTTTAATTGGCATCAAACAATTTCTTCAAAACGACATCGGGGATTCGTTTTTCCGCCAGATTTCCCGTCCCGGGAAGTTTCTGAGGTACCTGAGATCTTTCCGCCAGATTATTCCTCGCTGGCAGATTACTCGATCCCGTAGCGAATAAACGAGATATCGGAAGTGCCTTCTCGTCAAGGTTCTCCGTACCGGGAAGCTGTCCGTCGACCACTTCCGTATCATTATCCAGAGGAAGATTGTGATTCACGTGGGGCGCGTGAGGAGCCGCCAATGCTCCGTAAACGCCAAGGAATAGTATCAGAAACTGCATAAAAAGTACTTGAATGCAGTACGGTTGCATCGAGTTACGTGAAATTTGCGTTTGCGTAATTGACGATTGTAAATATAATCATGCATTTGATAAACGATCAAACTGATTGACAGATACTTCAGAAACCTCGATCTTGACTTTAACAGTAGAGTCATTGAACAACTTTGAACCGGATATTTTTTTTATTTATTAAATATTAAGAGTTCAATTGCGAGTTATAAATGAACAAAATAAAATTTTTCAGTTAATTTAACTTTAGAAAACAATTAACACACAAAATCATATTGTTTACTTAAATTCAAATCAGTTCCAGTTTATGACCGCTTTAATTAAATATTTAATATTAAATTGTAATTAAAATATTTTGAAAAAATTATTTGTTTAGTGATTTCAATATATATAATTACAATATTATTGCACTTGAAACATCCGTATCTGGCTATCAGTACAAAAGAAAAGGAAATGTCAAGATATAGAGGCTCACGCGTGCAAAATTTCTTTCCTAATCTGATGTACATTACGCAGAATTAATTCAGAATTGCCGGATAATTTACGCGAAAATAAATACGAGCTAGATGATATGGTTGTGAATTTATGACTATTTATTGCATCGCATAAAATCGCGTGATTTTATATGGTGCAACGTTCTGTTCACAGAAATTATTTACAGATTGAATTCGTCGAGAAATCGTGAACATGAAAATTTAAAGCGGATGACGACAATTTGACGCGGCAGTTGTAGATATAGGTAGATAAAGATACGTGTGAGGATTTCCCACACCCTTACGCTATTTCATATAGAGACACTCTCAGGCTCCACTTCGCTTGACCTAAATCTGGACCAGGTTAAAAGATAACCCACTTTCTCGCAATTGACTAGAAATTCTTCGAATGGGACAAAGCTATTTTTACTGCGGACAGAAAAGAATTTTTCCGATCGCTAATCGCAAGAACGGATTGTCGCAATAAAATGACTGCGCAATGTCTCGCGCTCGGTGTGGCATTTAAAATTATTTTCTCTTTATTTATATTCGAATTTATGAGATCTCTTAACTTTGCTTTGTTTGAAAGTGTTTGCAATAATTTCTTTAAAAAATCTAATTTTAATCTAATTTTTACAAATATACAAAATTCTTTCACAAACTCTCAATTGATCATATGAAATATTGCCAGTTCTACGTGCCTTTTCGAGATATCGCGACGATATTAATTACTGATGACTTACTCGAACGTCGTCATCCTTTTATAAATAACCGTGCCTTCGCCTTCAGCGATAAATTTATAATTGATTCGGCATTTAAAAATTAAACGAATTCTCCTCGTACTTTTACGCTAGCCATTCGCGTAATTTACGTCACGAAATATAATTATAACTTTTGTTTTCAATGATATGTGAAATTAGCAAAGAGTCAAAATAATTTCATTTATTATTAATTTCGCAAAAATATTTAATACTATATATACTATAATAAATAATAATTCTACAATAAGAAGAAATGAGCTAATCAAAATTCAACCGTGGGTGTAGACGTTTAAATCTATGACAATTTATCCACCTACATCTACATTTAGACTCTCTAATTGACTCTTTTTTTTATTACAATTTAATATTAAAGTGCTGGTTTTCTTGAAATATCTTGTTGAAAGTATGAGAAGATGAATAAATAAAAAGATGTTAATGATACATTGAGATATTATTTATAACAACTGAGAGGCCCATTGATATTTAAATTAGCATTTTTAGTAACTTCAAAATATATATAAACTAACGGTATCGTTCCCATAATTAATTGAATCTCGAAAGGATTAACGGCAGTTTAGCACGATAATGATAAATATTGATGGCACTTTAATTAGGTAATCGTTTACGTAATTGTGAACTCTCTGATTCTTCAGTTTTTAAATTTCGAATCTATTGTAATTTTTATTACAATGTCAAGTCTCATTATTTCGCTTTAAAAAAAATTACGCGATTGCGATTTCAGCGAATTCATAAGGAAATTTTCATTTTCCTTGAATAAAATTACTCAATCAACCGGTCAGCACGCAAATTCCACGTCACTCGCGAAAAACACGCGCGCGATATTTTTTGTCTTGGAATTTCCAATCTTCTCTTACCTCGATCATGTTCACTCGATGCGCAGTGCCCAACTATCCTTGGGAATGGCACGATGGCACTTTTATATAGGTATACGTGTACATGTGTGTGTATATGTGAGGGGCACACCGGTCTTACCGCGTGCTGAATCGACGTTTTATTGTGTAGTAAGCAAACGATCACAATCGCCTGAGGACAAGATTTCTTTCGAGAAGATTTATTTTTTTCTTTTTTGTTAAAGTTATTAATAGCTGTCAGCCTCCGCTTATATCGGGCAACGGCATAACCATGTGTTTTTTTAGAGTATTTTTTGATCGATGTAGAAAGATAACTGTAAAAAATTATTGACGCGTTTCGATCATAGAACTTTTTAAAAAAATCTTATTTACGTACGTTTCAATATGCAAATTTTTGGCTTATATTCAGCGTGTATAGAAAATTGTATAGTATAATTGTGTTTATGATATATGTATAAAAGAAAAAAAGATGCGATACATATCTTTATATATTTCTTTAAGTAATAGGAAGCTATAATAGCCATCCATTTTTACCTGTTAACGTTTTAAAGAATACATGTAATTATAAATAAATTAATAATAATTGAAAATTTCAAAATTAAAGTTTCTTTCTAATCGTACATTAAGTGATGGTGTTATTAATTGCTATTATTACTTGCAGAACTTGCACAATTTTTCACGCGTAAATTATTCATAAAATTTATCTGTTATTTTAGGTTTCTACACAAACGAATAAGCTGTGGCGTAATAACAATATAAGAGACCTCCAATTTCCAAAAATCGACATTTATTAATTCGGAAAAATGTATTGTACTTGTCCAGTTTAAAAAATATTCATTTCGATAAAATAACAATAAAATGTATATGCATATCTATAGAAATGAAAGTACGAACAAAAATTATAATACTACTCTATATTAGCAATATAATAATTATACTGTAATAATCTCATCTATTTAACATATAATTACGTTTTAATTGACTACGGATCAATTTGATGTATGTGTGTATTAACGTAATTATTCTAGCAAAGTTTGTGATTTTGCAACGGATATAATTTTAGTGAATCTACATATAGATTTTGACATTACAGAAATCTGAAATTAAACTTGATATTGAAGTATTATGTATACAAAATATAAAAATAAGTATTTTTTCCTAATAGAGGTTTATTTAGGTGGCCCAAACTGAAATCTAATATTATCTTCAAATTATTCTCAGAATTTAATTTCCAGAAATTATCTGGTTTTAGTATAAGATAGCGTTAGATTGACGTATTCATAATTATTGATTTGTGCAAAAATATACAATATAAAAAAATTTATCTTTATTTCGGCATTCAATGTGTAAAATTGCGAAAATTTTAACTATAGCATTTTGATAAAATGTAAGATTCATTAATTGCTATTGTCAATAATAATTGTCCTTAAAAATTATCACGTTTCAATTATAAATCGAATGAAAATGATTTTGCAAAATCGTGAAATTGATTGATACCAACAGTTCCACGTATAATTTTATAAGAGAGTAAGTTCTAAGATGTCCTAAAATGATGACTATTTATTGAAAATTAGCTGACAGATTTTAATCCAACTGTCAATGTACATCGCAATTCATAGAATCACGATTATTTGTCGTCCCAGAAATGCCGAGCTATTTGAGTCGTGCAATATAAGACTTACCTCAAAATTTTATAATGTAAAATATTCTAAAAATACGCAAAAAAGTGTATTAAACATTTTTTTTAAATATTGTAATATAAATCTATTTTTATGATATATATTTCGTATTTTCAGTATTTGCTATTATATGAACTAAATAATTTATATGCTATTCTGGACTTTAAATGTTCGTACTTTCATTTCACATAGAAACGAGATAACTGAATATATTTCACAGATTCAAAATATAGTTACGTCTTTATTAACGTAACAAGTTTATCCTCTATCAATATATAGAAATCAGTAAAAACTAAAAAACATTGTCATCTGAGCGTAAAATAAGCGGTTTTATCCGCCGTTCAAAAATAAACTGACATATAGCAGAAAAAATTATCTCTGCCCTATAAAACGTATTACTTCCTCGACTTCATTTTTCTCGATAATTAAAACAAATGAAGTCACAGTGAATGACGCTGACTGACGCGCACAGTGGGAGTGTACAGTGATATCATTTGCAATCAAATGATCTCATCGAGGGTCGTGTGACGTCATAAAGCCTACCTATTTTACTTGATCGACCAGGTATTACGCGGTCTACCGTAAGCCGTCTAGTCGTGTAAGAGAAAACGCTCGTGCGCCGTCATGATGACGTCACTCAGTTCTATTTCATCTCATCGAGAGGGCACGTTCAATAATCCGGTTTTTCTGACGTTCTCTCCTACCTACGCAAGCCTATGCTCGATATTGTTTTAATGTCGCTGTAACGGCGACGTAAGAAAAGTATAACGTAAAAAAGTGCGACGTAAAACTTGGCATCGTGACGCAAATACAAGTACAATATCGAATTTTCTCGCTAGTTCTATACTTTATAATTGCCATCTCGTATAATGTCAAATCTAAGAGAATAACTTATTTAAAAAAGTATCTTCTTTAACAAATATAATTTTTTTCCCGTGAAAGATTAAATTAACGTAGTAGGAAATGATTTAATGTTAGAAATATAAAATGTGCTTTTGACAGAATACATTTTTTTATTCAATGAAAAAAACAATTCCAAATTAGAAATAGAACTCGTTTCTAAAATATTTTTCAATATTCTAGACTATTCTTTTTTATTTTTAATAAAAAAATGTGTTTAAATATATTTAATGAAATACGTAAATGTAAAAAATAGAAGAATTCAGATTTGTAATAAATATTTCTTATTAAATACTTTATAATTATACTAAATTAATTATACTAAATAGTACATTAAATATTATGACGAATAAATTATATAAGCTTCTTGATCATGTTTTCCACGTTGCTAGTAATAATAAATGTTATCTCTGTGTGTGTATATTATATATAAATATTTTATTATTTATACATTAGACATTAGAAAATCGGGTAAGAACATATAAGAGAAAACAGGTTCTTGGCAAATATTTGAGAAGATTAAAATTTGTATAAAGGTCTGATCCCTGTAAATATTCACGGAGCACGCGAAGAGAAGAATGTGTCACCTTTCTCCCTCCAATCCCTATACAATCAACATGCTACAATACATGTCCCAAAACACTGTGCTCGTTCCAATGGATGGAAAAACAGGGAAGCCTTAGTATATAGACCAGGTCTTATAAACACAATTCACAATTCAAACAGTATTTCTCGGACGTACTTGACTGTGTAACACTTACAATTAGTATATTTGCGTGGATCGCAATTCACGTGGTGATTAACATTTCTTTACGCTATTATTTCGCATTTGAGAATATGTGATGTGTGTATGTGACTTTTTTATTCCCAATATTTTTATGGAGAAAATTGACATACTTTAATTAATATGTTTATCGTACGTTCATAGACGGGTCATAAAGAAATCGATCTAGGAAAAAGGCGAAAAGATAATCTGAGAATTTTTGTAATACAGGTAAGTAAGTCAATTTTACTTTTCTGGTTTCTTGAAATTGGAAAAATATAAATGTTATTGGTAAATAATCTTTCTCGAAATCTCTCGCCGAATAACCGTTGGCATATCAGAATTATAATTACAAAGACATATCTCAAAGGATGTGCTACGTCAATTCTCGATTATATATTGTAAGAGAGATACACATATGTTGTATTGATTTTTACAGCATATTTCTTAAAATTGCTAATTGTCAAATATGAGTCGTAACATGAATAAAAATGTGCAAAGAAGATCCGCATTATCATTTGTTGGTGGGGATGATACTATCGACGAATATCTTGATCATATTGAACAATCCAAGTCTTGGAAAGACACCGAGGAAATAGAAGGCAGTGACGCCGCTCGTATTCAAAGTATGTTGAACGACTTTAATGAAGTAATTACGCAAGAAAATAAATTAAAAGCAGGTAAGAATTATAAGAGATTTTTTTTTATAAATTTTTGGAATTATCGAATAAATATAATTGTCAAACTAAGGTAGTAGATATTAAACTGACTACACTGGCTGTCTATTAGATTTGTTAAACTATATTTATTGACGTTTCGACCATACGGGCTGTGGTCCTTTTCAAAATTACAATAGAAGCATTAATGAGTTACTGCATATCGTTATTGACATTTAAAAGTACAGTGTGTTCAGTCGTGGCAAGATGACACAAGTGAAACGCAGTTAATTTATCATCCGATCTTAAGTTAAGTCTCACCGGAGCGTACTTTTAAATGTCAATAACGATATGCAGTAACTCATTAATGCTTCTATTGTAATTTTGAAAAGGACCACAGCCCGTATGGTCGAAACGTCAATAAATATAGTTTAACAAATCTAATAGACAGCCAGTGTAGTCAGTTTAATATCTACTACCTTAGTATTTCATTCCTGGCGAACGAAATTTAATATTTTATAATTGTCAAATATTATCAAAGCTTGTGTGACTTAATAAACTTATAATAAAAATAAAGTTATAATAATAACTGAGAGTACACACATGAGAGAAAATATTATATATATATATATATATATATATATATATATGTAAATAAAATATTAATAAAATATCTTTATAGATCAGAAAGGTGCGAAAAAGAGTCGGAAAAAATCGACGGAAAAATTCACGACCGAGAATTCGATGACAACAAATTCTGAAGGGTCTTCTTCAAATATGCATGGCAATACCTCCGTGCCTAAATCCAAAGTTGAGACAAGAGAGAAAGCGACTTCAATAAGGCAAGCTTCTAAAGTGATAGAAAAAATATCTCCGCGAGAAAATCTCAAGCATAGTACTGATAATACGAAAAAAGCAGTTCGAAAAACTTTAGACTCTAGTGTCAAAGAGATTGCCTTTCACGAATCAATCAAAAAAACAAATACGAAAGAGGCAACGAGGATGATCGACAAAAAAATCGCAACCGATAATTATATGATAACAAATTTTGAAGCGTCTTCTTCTTCTTCAAATATATATAGCGAATCTCTCGCGTCCAAATCTAAAGTTGAAGCAAGAGAGAAAGCGACTTCAACAAAACAAGCTTCCAAGGCGACAGAAAAAATATCTCCGCGAGAAAGTCTTCAACGTAGTACTAATGATACGAAAAAAGTAGTTCGAAAAATGTTGGGATCCAGTGTTCAAGAGATTCCTGTTAACGAGTCACTCAGAAAAAATATAATTATGAAGGAGATGTCGACGAATACGATTGATACAAAAATGTCAACAAGCACGCCTCAAAAATCTCCTAAAACAACAGAAACGGTAAAAGATGAAAATTCGCCCGAGAAAAAAAAGATACGGAAGATGAAAGATTCTGAAAATAAACCGAAGGAAGATGTCAAACGCAAAGAAAAAAAACAAAGTACAAAAACATTGAAGAAGAACGCGAAAGACATCGAGCATTGTCAAGGTAAAGGTAAATAAAATACTGATTATACGTTTCTTATTAATTTCTACAAACATTTTGTATAATTTTTTTATAATAAGCATGATGTCCTTTAGATAATAAAACTATGTCTAATAAAAAGAAAACAATTATGAATATGGAAGAAAACAAATTGGAATGTAATAAAGAGAATGATAATGCGTCGGAAAAGAAAGCAAAGAAGCAAAAATTGCAATGCAAGTATATTAAAAATAGTATTTAAATTATTTGTCCTTCTTTCTTTTGTAATTTTATTTTGATAATGTTTTCTTCAGATTGCATAAAACTAGGAGTACATTTTTCTGTATTTTTTATGTTAATAATATATTTTCCAGGCAAACATATTTCTAGTAAATCAAAGAAGCTAGAAAACTCTAAGAACAAATTGCAACAAAGTGCTACATCAAATAAGTCTTCCAAACCATTACAAACTAACGTGGAAAATCAATGTCATTGTAAAATTCAATCTAAAAGTCAATGTAAAAGTAAGAAAAGATCCAGAATATTTTATAATTATATTTATATATATATATATATATATATATATATATTTAAAATCGACACACACACACACACGTTATTTCCAACAATTAACATTAATTAATAATTATAATAACACTTTTTAGAAGAGTGTGCGGAAAATTACGAACCAAACCAACAATTGATTGAACAACTGAAAACTGCAAGACAAGAAGAAAAAAAAGAACGTGTAAAAAATAGAATAGCAGCAAAAGCTATGGGCAAGCTTAGTCATAAAATATCAGATGTCAAGAAAAAAATAGAATGCATCAAATATGGTTTAGGTAAAAAAACTTTTGTCATTTTAATATCAATCCAATTCTCTAATATCCTCCAAATGCTTTTATTTATAAATATAATTAGAATTGTAACATTATAATAATTGAAATATTATGTTTTACAAACTATTTATTTGATATTATTTATATTAATTATTGTGTTAATTATTTAACTTATTTTATTTGTTTAATTTTTTAACATTATGGCAAAATTTAATGGTGCATCACAGTAAAAATTCAATCAAATAAAATTAAGATTTTGTCGATCTGCTATAGATACGTCCGTTCTAAAATTAATTTATAGAATATTTTATGTTACAATATCAAATACTATGGTTAATCTTTACGGCGACAAAACTCTTATCCGACGATTTGATAGATTTTACTGAGAATTCGCATACGAGAGTCACGCTGCGATTCAAATTCGCGATATTTCCGAAACTAATTCTTCATTTTTTTTCTCTTTCTTTTACAGAAAGCAGTGAGTCGGATTCTAGCAGCGATTACTCTGTTTTATCGTATTCGTCATATAGTACAGATTCTTCCTACTCCGGATCCTCAATCGACTGTGACCATAGAAAATGCTATTGTGACATGAGCCATGATTCTACTAAATATTTTGATTCGTCTGATTCGTTTGAGTCTGATTTTGATTCTGATTCTAGTGAAATTTGATAGTAAAAATGACGCCGTGGAGACAAAAACAAAAACAGAAAGTGAGAATAAAAAAATTGCATTGAAACAAAAAATATTAAAAAAATAATATTCAATATTAAAATCGCATGAAAAAAACTTTGTATAAATCTTATTTTAATATAATAATTCAAAAAAAATTTTATTGTTGATACATTATATAATAATTTTATTTATTTTATTTATAACTTATATTTGTAATAAATAATAATTATATAATTTAGTTAGTTAGTTAGAGAGCGAGAGAGAGGACAAGAAAAAAAGTGAAAAGCATGAATTTAAATGAATATGTTTGATTGAATTCGATAAGATTTAAAAGATTCACACGTACGAAGTTGTAATAATTTTTGTTGTAATTTAATCAAATTTAATAAAATAAAATTAACCCTATGTATTGCATTTTTTATTTTATAGCGCGAGAGAGAGAGAGAGATAAATGTATAAATACTTATACAATCTTCATCTTTACTATACTGCATTCATTTTCAGAAATGCTATCTGCACAATATATGAGTATTTGCAATTCTACTTTCTGTAATTTATAATATTTTTTCGATTTTATTGACATAGTCTCCAAAGTATGTACAAGAAACTTTTCACTTTTAATTGTTCATATTTTACAAATTTTTAAGGTTTCGATAGTTTGGTTTAGAATTAATCGTAAAATTTTTCAGAGCATCTTATAACGTGAAATATTTGTGACTCCCCCTATACAAAACGCGATTCGAATGACCCTTGAATAAAAACAACGAACTCATTGTACAGCGCATTCGAATGCATTAAAATAATGCGTATATCGCGACTCTTAAATTCATCTCATCGTTTTCTGCTCCCCTTGTTACTATTCGCGGCGTTTCGGCACCTGCTTCATGCGCTGCCGTATTTTTTCTTAACGTTCTAACTGAAAACAGAGAAGACTAAAAATAGACAGTTTGACGCACACTGCCAATGTTAAGGTAAGTAAGCATGAACTGTATGTTTGCTCTTTTCTCTGAGACAATAATCTGACGCTTATACGTCGCTTGTCATCCTCACAAATGTGAAGTATAGGTAATTGCACAATATAAAAAGTGTCAAATTTATGTCACGTCTCGTGAGTTTATCTAAACACTAGATAATGCACACATACACACTTGAAGAATTGTTTGCGTATATTTATTCATATATTTTAACATTAAAAATATCAAATATTAATATAGATCGATCTGATTGTGAGATCGAATAACATTATTTATACGACTAAATGAATGACTTTTTAGGCCAGTGGACTTACCTTTATTGGCCACAATCATTCTGGCTACTAATCACATATGTAAATTTGACCTCTATCGGAGATCTCAATGAAGGAGAGAAATTCCTTCCATTTCTGGCTAATTATCATCATTGGTGTATGAGTGTAATTTTACGCTCAATCATAAGAAATACCGAAAAAATACGATCGTAAGAAATCACGATCGTTTGTACATACATCGTTAAACTTAATTTTGCTTTAACTAACTTAACGCCGAGTTATCGATCAAAATAGTTTCATATTGATATTTTTCTAATAATACATATATACATTATTTAATTGATTGATAACTTGGATTTACATCAATTAAAGTAAAATATTTTCATATGTCACTACATAGATGGATAGACTACAAAGAAATTAAAATAATCGATGTTTGTTAAAAGAATAAGTTAATTTTATGTATAACAAAGTTGTTATTATGTACAGTTAACAAAGCGCGTTCTTTAAATAAAATAAATAAGTAAAAATCTGAAATAAGTGAAAACTGAATTGAAATTTTTATATCTTTCTTTAATTTATTCTTTAATGTACACTTGTATGTGTAATATGCTTTAATTATGTATATTATTTATCAAAAATATAAATCTAAGTAAGTTTGATCCAATTCATTTTAGTTTATCCATTTTAAGATAACGAATCTGTCTACAATCTATAATCTGCAATCTACAATTACGATCTAAATCCGTTACCTCAAAATTAAATAAAAATTTATCTCACTCACCAACACCGATGTACAACGGAGTAGTTGATGTTCAAGCTAGTTTCCTGTAACATATAAATAAAGAATTTAAATTAATTATTATTTAAAAAAATTAATAGATGCGCCAAACTTTATATTTGGTATATAACAAAATAATAAACTATATATAAATATATAATAAAATAATTTTATAAATTACAAAAAATTGTTGATATGCTCACCTTAAGGTTGCTTCGCTGGTGCTTCATATCTCTTCCTCCTCTCAGGTTGTCAGAGTCATTAAAATTCGTTGATTAACACGCGCAATACTTTTAATGGCACTCTCGCACTTTACGCACGATACTTTCAACGGCACTCCCGAATTTTACGTTGTCTGTAACATATAAATATAAAATCTAAATTATAGCAGTGTTCCTAGTCCTATAAATGTTTTAGCAGAAAAAAATTGATTGACATTTCCCTTGAATACGAAATTTCGTATTTATAAAATTTATAAAAAAGTCTCATGATAAAAAACGTAAATAATGTTTCGAAAAATTAAACATCTTAATTGCAATATAAAATAATTTGTTTTTTTCTTATATTCTCAGAAAATTTTATTAATATAAATTAAATCTTTATAAACAATTCTCATTAATAAATAAGGAATCTAGGAAAAAAATAAAAATAAAAAATTTTAATTATAAAATTGTTAGAAAAATATGATATTACAAATTTAGCAGCAGAATATACACACAGAAAGAGAATCACAAAGATAAGAGTAAGAATAACAAACTGTCGCAGTGAAATGAAAATATTTGTTCGTTTTATGCGTTCTTACATATTGCCAGTATTATTCGCCGCAAAACAATATTTGCATTTTTTTCTTGTTCTCAAGTCAAACTATTATATACATATATATATATACACCTATATTAGATAATTCAAAATAATGAACGTATAATTGTAATAAAAATAATGACTTGTTTGTAAAATTGAAAAATTTGGTAACATTTTTGTAGAAATAATACAAATATAATAAATTAAATTAAATTAATGACAGAATTGAAGTTTACAATTGTGTGAAATTAGAAGTAACATTATTTTCTAATAGTTTATGATAAGAGATATAAATAAATGGAATAAATAGAAATTATCAGAGCAAAAGGAAAAATTACTCTCGAAAATAAAGAAAAAATGTGTACCTAGAAATATTGCATTTCTCAATAAATCAGTGGAAACGGATAAACAGTTTAAAGAAAGCAGGAAAAAATCAATGTTATCAGAAAGAAAAAATAACTGAAAATCAATGAATGATAACTTCACAGAATCACATTTCTCATTGTTAGTTGACATGCACTTTTGTTTATTGCAATGGCTCTGCGCGAGGCAATCACGATAAAAACAAAAACCTAGCATATTTAAACCAAGCCAAAGTTAAATTGATTTTCCAAGATGGCAAAAACTATGAACGCGTATTGTGAAATCTGTCAGAATTAAAAGTTCAAAATAAAGATACGAAGAAACTAATCTAAAAATTGTTATATATATATTTATGAACTTGTATTTAATAATTTATAAATTCTACAATATATATATATTTGTTCTTGTCCCATTCAATATCGCAAAATTTGTTAATTATTTATATAACGCATTTCAACGTGTATATAATGAGAATTAGTTATTCAGATATTTTCGGTTGATCTTATTGTCAGTGTTTTCTGAAATCATCATTGGCTTCTTCCGAAAACTAACGCGAATCATTGAATTCTGATAATCATTATTCCAAGTATTAGTGTCTTTTTTATTTTTGGTCATTTGCATCATGCCAGATTATTTAGACTTCTTTGTATCAAATTTCATTTAAAAAATGAGAATACTTGAAAATAGTTAAGAAATATTTAAATTGCTATAGGTTTCAATTTTTTAAATTTTACCTAGAAGAAACCTCAATTTCAAATTCAATAAAAATAGCACGAAATAAGTAGTAGATGTCAAGGAATGAAGAAGCATCTGCGCGCTATTATTTACGGTGAAGACCTCAGAGTTTTCTAATATAGATGTTTCATCAACCGCATTTCGCACAGCGATAAATTCGATAATTATGTATTCACGATTCAGCTTCAGTAACGACTCTTTCGTTCTTGCTTCTCTTTCCCTTTTTACTGCTATTTTATTCGCATTGCATCATTTTGAGCGTTGCGCGTGTACGTGTGCAATCGAGTCACACTCGTGCGGAATCGCACGTGGGCGATCTTGATGTGTACGTACTGTATTTGTATTTGTACTGCCTTTGCGTAGGTGGGATATGAAGATGCATGCGTCGATGAAGGTAAATCCTCTCCGACAAGCTCACCCTTATATATTTCTTTCTCTTCCTCCATTCTTCTGTTCATGCTATTTTCTTTCTCTTCTATCCTCTTTTTCGTCATGATTCCCTTCTCAGTCGATACTCTACACTCTGTTCAAGAGTTCTTCAAGAAATAGCTACCTTAATAGAGGTGTCTCGTATACTTTTGTTTATTCAACGGTGACATGAAGTATATACTTTTAGATTATGAATTGTTTAACTGGAATATAGTGAGAAGTTGGATAAATTATTTTAATACCTTTTCTTGTAAGCTTCAGAGCATTGTTAGATAACGAAGAACTGGCATTCGCAGAAAAATGATCGTCGTAGAAGCCTTCCGCGAATAATAAATTCTCTCAAAGTTCAGTGGCTGCTTGGCAAGCACACTTAGACGTGTTCTGACATGAATATGTTAGTGATTTCAAGCAAAATAGACAATAGCTGTGTCTACGAAAAACGCTAATCTAATTATAGTTGAAGATATATATATATATATTGTATCAAACGTAAAATAAAATTCACACTACCAAGTTCGACACATTATGCTTATATTTCGTTCCTCGCACGCGACTGTCACGGGATTCATAAATCAATTATGTGCCTGCTGTCCCGCAAGATATACCTAGAGACGTATACACGCAAATGTATAAGTTTGATGACGCCAACATGTTTCCCATTTATCCTAGATTCTGTCTATTCCTCGAAACTCGCCAACGTCAAAGTTTTTTTGCATAATTCACAAACTAATTGTAAGGGCGAGCCGATTCGCGATTACACAATAATTCGCACTTACACTTCCATTGCGCGATCGTTTCTCTTATTTATATCTTTAATATCCGGTTGTGGTATACAGCCGAACGTCTCTATGGTATATCTCCGTATACTTGACATACATTTTAAAAATACTTTCAGGTGTAAATTCGGATTCGTGATGAACGCGTAATCTGCATTATTTAACAGTGTCTGTCGTGATTTTAAGAAAATAATATCGGATGTGACAAAGTCACAAGAGACGTATAAGAAATTTATGATAAATTAAAAATATATTTCAACCCTCTACTTTAAATTATTTTCGATAGTAATAATAATTAAAAATTTCTTATATTGCAATAAATAGAGGCAAAATATAATTATAATAATATATGATAAGAAAGCAAAGAGCTGAATCGCAGAACCATGTAGCCTTTCCTTCTCTTTTATTTGGCTCTATATTCGTAGAAGTTAGAATATTAAACTAGTGGCAGAAAGTCAATAAATCCATTTTAAGTCGATCCATGTCAATAATCCATTCGTGCAGATATAAAAATATACTTTGCAGATTCAAGTGGCTACCGAAATGGCTTTATCCTGCAAAATTCACAGGCAGACGCAATAAAGAATAATATGAAAGAATAAAGAATAAAACACAAATATATTATATTATTGCTGTAGAAATAAATAATGCCAAAAACCGAACCCAAATTCTTCAAAACCTCTCTTACAATTAGTATTGCGCGCATCGTTTTCGCGCACATAGGAATTCTTATTACTCACGAATAGTTATCGAGTCCTTGTTCCTAAATCTCGAGAATGCGCTATCATTGAACACGTACAAGCAACATACTTGATCGCAGATAATTAACGAGTACGTATGACTATATAGTCACAAATATAATTAAAAAGAAAGGTTTAATTTCTTTTATTCGATTTACTTTTCGAACTGTTATCTTGCTATATCTTTTTATAATTAGTAAAAGTCAGTTTAAAATAGATTCAAATCAGTAATTCGATTCGAAATAATGGTGCTTTTATCTAAACGTGATCATGGCAATTTATGGTTGAAAATATGTATATTGCAGCGTGTAAACCGATCAATGACGGCATAGAAAAATTATGCGGTGAATCTTGTTCCGGGTAACTCTTCCTGTGTTTATCAGGGTGTTGTCGTGACGCGACTCGTCGACTCGCGTGTAATACGTTCGTTAAAAACAGCTACAGTATGACGCAGTGTTACGCTTGTTTTACACGGAGAAAATATTACAGTAAAAATTACAATATAATTTATTTAATCGTTGAACACTTTAATATATATATAAGCAAAATTACCATTTTATTAATTAATTTTTTATTATATAATATACGTATTATATTTTACAAAGGAGTATTGTGATTATTCAAATATTCTGATGTACAGATAAGTAACTGCATAATCGTTAATAAATAATAAAACAAATGCATAATTTACAATTTTTATAGTAATAATGATTTTAATGTCATTATGTTTCTTTGCAAATAAATGTGGTAAAAATATGTATTTTTCACGTAATTTGATCTGTAAAATTCTCGTAATATGTACCTTACGTTAGTTGACGTCGTCGCGCACCCTTTTACAATCCACGTCTGCGCGTTTCCCAGCTGGGTCTATAAAAGCGACGCGGGGCGTCACGACGCTCCAGACGTTTGAGATACGCGCACCACGGAAAATGCGACCAGGCACCATCGCGTCGATATCGCTTGTCACTCAAGTATCTATTTCTGTGCTTGTCTCTCAAATGACACCTGCTCCGAAAGTGAAATTGTCAGTGGATTAACATAAATTCTCGCTGACTTCTTCATTCAGCGTTTGTGATATTTGTGCGACCATCTGATGTACGCGTGTGCTGCGAAAACGTGTCGTGATATAAAAATGTAGAAGAGAACACGTTAATTAAAATTTAATCGAACAAAAGAAAGTGATTTAATACACGCATTTTTATTGACATTAATCGCAGTGTGCACATTCTTTCCGAACGTCAAACGGATTTTACTACGTGGTACGTATCTCTCGTATTATTACTTCTCTACAAGTGTCTCTGTATACATTTTATCTATGCAATTGTGCACAAACTTTTTATTAGTGATGTTTTTTAAATCTTAATGCTTTAATACTCAATAATCAGAAATCTTATTAAATTTTTGATACTTTGTGAGGTCCTATAATCTAATTAAAAAAAATTAAAATTGATATTTATAAAAATAGATTTTTTATAAGAATAGATTTCAAAAATAAGTTTTTTATATTTGACTATTAATTATATCAATTTTTTATATTATAAAATTTTAAAAGATTATATATAGTATTTGCTTAGGATTAAAAACATAAATTATAAAAATAAAGGAAATTTTTAATCGCAAATATTATATTATATTTGATAATTTAGTTTAAAAACGTATCGAACAATAATGTTATAAGATCGATAGCCTTCTAAGCTATAATGCATTTATATCATAATCAGCACACACTTTTATGATTTTTATATCTAATGCTTTAAGGAGTTAACACGAAGATTTCCGCGGCATTTGTAGTATGTTAAATTGTTCATTGTCTATTTCTATATGCGTGTCTGCTAAACTATCTCATTAAACGCATGACATGCACGTACGCACGTACGCCAAAGTAGAATGCTACTAACTTCTCATATGTATTAAAATAGAGTACCCAGTAAACATAAATGCTAAATATACCTGCATCTCGGAGGCTTGTCAGAATAAGCCGGTCAGAACCGGCGGTAATATGAAAAAATAACCGTGATACAAAACAATGCGTAAAGAAAACAATATTAACTGCAATGTGTCGAAATTAAAGTCATGACGCACGAAATGTAAATTTAAATATGTGACATATACAGAAGAATATAATAGTCCTACGTAAGAATCAGAAACACGTTCCCACCCACTTTGTTAATAATTAAAGTGAAAAAGAGAGATATGCCATTGTTTTATTCTAGTTGAATTTTATAGTGCATTGCATTATTAAAATATTTATGACTACCACCCACGAAATCCGTTCGTTTCATATTGCATTCGTTTCGTCAGATGATGACATTTACGCTGTCTCGAATTTCCAAAAATTTATGGAACGATCCGAAGTGGATAAATTTTTATCGTCGAATAAATGTATATTTGTTTTCATGTAATTTAAACATTTATTAATGGTTGTGTTGTAACAAACAATTTCTTTGAATCATTAAAATTACAACTTAAATACAACTTAGCTTTTGGATTGTTTCGTATTTAAAATGTCTATATAGAAATACGCATGTTTGTATTCTCCTAAATTAGTTTTAACATAAAAATTGAAATAGTACATAGAAGTACAGGTAAAAATTATGCTGTCCTATTTAAGCAAGAAATTAGCAATTTATATATATATATGTGTGTGTGTGTGTGTGTGTGTGTGTGTGTGTGTGTGTCGATCTATAACTTTTATTCGTGTAAATTATTTTTTAGTGCCATTAGATTAAATAAATTAAATTTTGAAGCGTATTTAAGCGATATGGCCAAGATAAAAAAATCATCTATTTGTCGTATCTCTCTTTTCCTATTCACACTCGATCTTGCTATGCATTTAATCTGTGCAAAAAAAGATAAATTGACGAATACAGACAAAATCTGATTGAAACACGATAGGATCGAAAGAAAGTTTCAGAGTTTAATGCCAATCAGGCACAGGCGATGTCGAACGGTCCTTGCTATTGATCTAGCGAGAGGGTCTAAATGTCCTGGGTTCACCCAGCTACCCTCCGGCCCGATTCTCGGTTGCACGGCGAGAGTGGTGGATCTCTCTCCGATAAGAACAGCGGAGAAAACCGCAACGTGGGATACACGTACAAAGCGAAGATTACCATCCCTAGTGGCGTCGTTCCAAAAATCCTACCCGTGTATTGCCGTCCAAATTATCGATTCATGAGATGCGCGATCATAAATTCGAACGCAAATATAACACTCGATCACGAGTTTACACGAGAGAGCAGATGCAACGCGGCGCGCGATGACGCACGTGCGAGATTGCGACTGGAAGAGAAACGGAGTCTCAAAAAGCGCGCGAAGACTATCATTAGGTAGATCAATGTCTGCTTAATGTTGCTGTTATGCAATAGTAATCAATAAATTCGACGACTTTCATGTCGTTTTAAACATTTTAATAGCGAAAGTAGGTATACGCGAATTTCATTGCATATATACAGTATGAGATTCCCAGTATGTACTTGCTTCTATAGATTTCTTGAATCAATTTAGGATCGAACTTTTTCATCAAAACTTGAATTATATGACAATTTATCTCACAGATTTTTAACAATTCCAATTTTAAGTGTCTTTGTTATTAATTAGGAAATTAAATTTATACTTGTAAAAATAAATATTCGCTAAAAAATAATTCTACTTTATTATATTAGTAAAAAAATTAGGTTCAATTTATTTAATTAAAGTTGGACCCGTAAAAATTATCAAAAGTACCTGAAAAATATTTTTCTTTTTTCTCACAGAAAGAGACTTAAAAAAGTTGAATTTTTATTTGAAAAATATTATCTCCTTTTGTCCTATTGAGACATTTTTTCTAATGATCTCTACATCACATGATATACAATATCAAGTGGCACGTGTTCGCAATATCATATTCCAGAACTGCGATTGATCTACTGCTATTTATGAACTAGGACGCACGTTGTACGATCAGAGAGGCGTGAATATTATCTTTTTGCGGAAGGAAGCGTGGGAACACTCCACAGAATATGACCGTACGTTCGTCATATTGACAATCGTAGGCGTTATATATGTCTGAGATTTATTGTACCTAGAGAACGAGACGATGATATTTCTGCGACAAAGCATTATCCAAGTATAAAATCAACGTAGACGTATTTCCGACAGATGAAATTCTAATTTCCGCACTTGACGGAAGGAGACGGTCTATATAAAATAAAAATAATAAATAAAAAGTTCCTGTATAATAAAAATACATTAAAAGATATTAAAATAACAATACAAATAAATTAATTATATACGCAATTAAAATAAAATAAATATCTAAAATACAAAAATAAAATAATTTTAATTATAGTAAAATATATGATTTATATATATAATACTGGTCATAAAATTTACTTTTACATAAAATTCTTAGCGAGACACTTAAACATTGTTTATTATATTTAATTGCATTATGTACATTATACTTGAGCTAAAAGTAAAAAATATTAATCTATTAAAAATAATCAAATATATTTTTTTGTTTTATTACAGATGAAGCTGCACGAAAAGAAAGAGTCGGGTATCCATAGGGTGCAGGAGGTACCTCTCGAAGAATTAGATCTTTCGAAAGAATACAATGTGGAAAAAACTCTGGGCGAAGGTAGTTTTGCGAAGGTTTTATTGGCGATACACAGAGCCACTCAAACAAGGGTAGTTCTAAAAGCAGTTCATCAAGAACTCACATCGGAGAAGGACTTTTTCCGGGAATTCCATTATTCGTACCACCTGAGCCCACATCCAAATATACTTTCTTCGTACGCCGTCGCTTTCAAAGCGGAGAAATGTTTCGTTTTCGCGCAAGAATACGCGCTCTACGGCGACCTCGCCGGCAATGTGAAAGCTGGAGGACTTAACGAAGACGCGTGTAAAAGGATCGCCGGGCAGCTTGCTTCGGCTCTCGATTTTATTCACTCAAAGCAGCTGGCCCATCGTGACATAAAATTGGAAAACGTGCTAGTATTCGCGCAGGATATGAGCAAGATCAAGTTGTGCGATTTCGGTTGCACGAGACGCGAAGGCACTCTGGTGAACAAGATCCGTTGCACCTGGGTGCCATTTCAACCGCCCGAGATCCACGAGGTCATCAAGAATGAGAGGTACGCCTGTAAAAGAAGCTCGGACTGTTGGCAGTTCGGCATCGTTCTCTTTGTTTGTCTGACCGGCAATCCGCCATGGCAAAGCGCCGACCTAATCCAAGATCCGGACTACTCTGCTTTCCAACGATGGTTAAAGCGACGCACCACCAAGATTCCGCCTACTTTCCGGCGATTCACACCTAGGCTACTCCGATACTTCAGACGAGCATTCGAGCATAAACCGGAGAAGAGGCCGCACGTGACTGAGATCAACAAGTATTTAAAAGATACGTGGTGCATCAGCAAGATCAGTCATAGCGCGACATCGACGTCGGTAGATGTGAGCGAGAGTCTCGCCAGGCGGGGCGACAGTCTGCTCTACCTGGACACTATTTTGGATGACAGAAACAATGTGGACGAGAACAAAAACAAGCTGAGGAAATTACTAAATAGTTACGGCCTGGAGACTACGGTAGATCAAAAAGTCGTCACCAAAAGGATATGGGAGTGGGTGATGCAGTGTGATTCCAACATAGAGGACATAGAGCCGGGTCTCATCAGCGGCTTCAGCACGGAGGATATGTGAGAGATGGTGAGAACCTGCAGCGAGCCGTGCCTTCGGATCGCCCAGGAGGAGCCGAGTAAGTTCCGAATGGGCAGCTTTCATGTATCGTACAGACGTGCCAAATAATCAGCCGTATAAACGAGAGACATTTTTCGAAGAGCTCGTGCGAAATGTATTCCACGAAAGAGCGGAACACGGCCTTGTTCCAGCGACGGCCTGTTCCAGGGTTGAAATGCTATACATAGGCGGACCAATTATCGATAAACTTCCTCTATTATTTTAAAATGGAGATTACAGAAAAAATTCGAAAAACGATGATGACTTTTGTAAATAGTGAAATAATAATGGCATATTGAAAACGACAGCTAATCCTAAAAGTAAAAATGCAACGTAAATGTTTGAAAAACATCATAATGATGTGTGTCTAAAAGACATTTCTAATCTCTGAAGCATTCTCTCGACGTTTAGATATCCTTTGTATTTTTATGCTGTTTTGAAATTTCAAGAATAAAATAAGATATCCGTCTTTTGAGACATAAGATAGCAGTTGAGTGTAAATGTGATATGTATGTATCTAAGTATAGAGAAAGAATCCGCTTCTTGACCGAAGAACAGTGTCAAGCTGGAGATTAGCTTGGTGTACTAACTATAGAGACAATAATGCCGGTGCATAATGATTTTTGCGTTAATCAGTTGTTCTGGTAAACAGATGGTCTTAGCGATGCCTTATGTGCGACTTATTGTTAGACGCGAGGTTGGAGACAGCCACTTAGAATATATTTTGCATATAATTCAAAAAATCTCTATTTCTGTTCACATATAACGGTATAAACTCGATCGTTAAACAAAGATAAAAAATGTAAGACTGTATAATCCAGGGATTCCCAAATTGGAGATCGTAACTCCAAATGTAGCATAGATTACATTTTCGAAAACAATCCATTTAATAAGATTCGGCACAATCAAATGTGAAAAATTAAAGTTTCGATTTACATAGTGAGAGGAAAATACTAATGTTTCATTATTATAATCTGAATAAATATGAATCTCTAACTTTCAAAATAACGAAGTAAAATTTCTGTTGCAACATTTAATTTATAATTCTCTTCTCTAAAAAATAAGAAAAAGAATTTTCGGTTATGCCAAAAAATTTAACAATCTGGCATAGCCGAAAAATGCAATAGAGATTATAATGCGAAATGGATGGTTATCGGAAGTACCGTTAACGACAAGATGTAAATTATACAAATGTAAATATATTTATATAAATATATATACATTATTTATATTCGCTAAATATGTATATATATATATGTATCTTATATATATACGTACACATATGTATACGTATATACATTAGGAAAATATAATGCGCATATATTCTTGTAGCAATTTATCGTGTAGTGCGTAGAAGTTCCGTTTGTACAATTAGTTACGCCACTTTGTAACGGTGATATAAACGTAGCATAATAATGCATGCGCGTTGCAATTTGAGTTGTAATAATCTTTCGCAAACGATCCTACATTAAAACGTTCACGGATAACAACACGTAAAGCGGGCATTTCGCAATGAAGCGCAAATCAGTGGCAAAATTCATCGCTTGCTTCCAGCGATCGATACATATTCAGATGAAAGTGAATTAAAATATGTACATACAATCCGAAATTTACATAATAACATTCTGATTGTAATATTAGGTAATATTAGAATAATTTTGATATAATTTTAGCAAGATCAATTTTCAGTTCTATATAAATCTATAAATACGGGAGAATGTACCACGTGCATTACAATTCTTGCATTTCAATATGCTACAAATAAATATTTTTGTGTGCGAAATAATATGAAATTTGTAAAGATTAAACATTAGAAAAATTCTGTGAGAAAAAGAGATGCATATGTATATATACCGTTTATTTTTATCTACATTCATGAGATATTTACGTTATTTTCTTGGCATAAGAATATTGCTATACCTATCGCGGATTTATTGTCAGATATAGAAAATTGATCTTCTCTAAAGTCTCCCGCAAGTTATCTCGATTGTTATCCAAATGTATAGCTGTAAGGATCGGTGTAAAGAATGTGTTAAGAATTGGAATTATGCGAACGCGTATTTCTATATATTTGTACGTTAAATATGGGAACATGCACGACGAGCATTATCGCTCACCTACAACATTCGGACAATCATTATTATCTTGGTACTGTTCCTCTTGTTCCGAATTTTGACTAAATGACAAGATAAAGTAACGAATGAAGAACTTTTGCGAAAAAGCCGACGTGCGTGACCTCCATTAATACGAAGCAATGTTTTGTATATATTGAAATAAATCTTGAAATTGTATATAATTGACATAGCGAGATATAATTCCCCCATAACTTTTACTTTGATTCTACATTCTATTTTATTTCATAATTAAGGTAAGAATTTATTTAGATGCTAATAATTTTTTATGTAACATCATTTAATATTCATTATTGATATTTATTATCAAAATCATTAATATTAATCCATCTTATATAAATCTATCAAAAAATTTTTTATTGAAACACACGATTTCGATGTTAAAAGTAATCATATGTATATATCTATATATTTCTGTATACTCATGCATAAATTCATTGCATACATGTTATAACTTCTAATTCTTTAAATTGAATTTACGAATCAGTGGATTAATTAGAGCACGTCGCTCTCAAATCTTTCAACCTGTAACACCTACGCGGTTTACAACCAGCTAGAACGGGGTGGTTTGCCATCGGTCGGGTGTCGCTATGGCGACGAACCCTGGATACCCGGGCCAGCTGAAAGCGATGTACAACCCTCGCGTTCCTACCTCTCATTCGCGTTACAATCCCTCATTCTTCCAAAATCACCCCATCGAAGAAAATAGATGCGCGATGTAACAGGCGCGGCTGTTACATAGATCATGCTTCTGTCGCGGCTTGTGACCTCGTCATAGTAATTGGCAGAAAGATCGACGGACATATAATTTCTGGATTACAAGCGATTCTCGACGTGTTACGCAAGTCGAATATTCACGTCATCTGATATTTGTAACTCTGCGTTCATGCTACATCGAAAAACGCGAATATGCGCGCCATTAGCGAAGCCATTAGTCAGTTTTAATTAAGTGAAAATTATATTAGTTCTCTCTATTAGTTCGACCTTAATATCGGAGTAAGAGCATACGATCGCGAACATTTAAAAATTTTTCAATCTTTTGAGATTGCGTAAAACAATTATAAATTGGTACTTGCATCTCGAAAAAACACAAAATTTTTGTGTGTGTACAAAAGAAGCAAGTATCTTTAAACTTTTATCTTGGATAATTTCATTATATCCTCCCAATACTTAATAAGGTTTTTATGTATATATTATGTGGTTTTATCAAATTAATATTTAATATTTTTTAATTATTTAATTAAAAAAGATTAATTCAGATTTAATATTAAATTTATATTTTCAACAACTTTATATATATACTTATTCGCTGACTATATATGTTCAATATTAAAAACATCGTCGTAATTACGCTCCAATTGTTACATCCAATCTATTAATTACATCTGCGCGTTATCATTCTTACGGTCAATGTGAGTGTGCCTAGGCGTCATTCTCGCTCAGTCTCTAGAGTGCCAAGATAAATTCATCGTCCGTGGCGCAAAACGTTTTGATATTTGTTGACACGTGGATATATACCTAATACTCCAAAAAATATTTTAAGATCTTTACATATTTAACCTTTACTAGGTAACCCACAAGCTCTGTGGCATATCCTCGACCTACTTTCCGGTTGCTTCATTATATATATTTTTTGTTCTAATATATGTTTCAATCCAAATATATTAATATATGTAAGATTCAACTACTATAAACGTATAACTAGATGTAAAATAAGTAGATCACTAAAGATAAATTGATGAAATCATCAATCGAAAAATTTGTGTTAAAACGAGGATGAGCAAAATAATATGAGCATACCTATATTTATACTTATTTAGATAAGAGCCGAGTAAAATTAAATTTTAAAATTAGAAAGCATTTTTAGAATAAAATATATTTAGAAAAAATGCTAGTTTCATTATTAATCATACAAAAAATATATTATATAAAAATAGAATATAATATCACTTATTGTCAGATAAAAGTGATAATACAAAAGATAAAAAAATAAACCGAAAAAGTAAGATAAAATTTTCTTGCACAATGTTTTATTTAAAAAAAACACTTGATAATTAATACTCTTTTTTATTTCTTTCTTTTTCCGTTTTTCTGTTCCTCTTTATTCTGCATTTCTCGTTTCTTTTTTTTTTTTACCTCTTTTTCTTTCTCTTTTTTTCTCTCGTTCTCAGTTTTGATTTCGCAGGCAATTCCGGGTGTTTCGAGTCATTAGTTACGCCACTAGTGTGCGTGCATCAAACGAATGCATCTTAACATGCACCCGCGTTCCATCATCTTTCTTCCGATGCGCATGTATTTTGGACCAGTGTACCGCTATTTTCATCCACATGGTGAGTATTCTCGGCGGCTTGTTTTGACAAGCGTCAAACTGACTGGATACTTGACAGGGCGTTATCTCCGCAAAGCGGACATCAAGTACATACACAATTGTAGTGTTTAAACATATCGTAACAAAACATACGACGAGAGATTCTCAATTGATTGACTCTAAAACAAAAGTCAACAGCAAGCGCACGTGTAACAATAGCGAGAATTGGAAGAACGACATTTCAGCTGCTATTAAACTTTGACATTTGTTTATATAATTTTTATCAAGCTTCATATTCAACAAAGAGAATAGACATATAGACCAGCGAAGAAAAAATTAATGAAATCATCGACCGCAAAATCTATCTTAAAATTAAATAAGCACACAAAATAATATGATTATTTAACACGTATTATTTCGATTTATTCTTTATCTTTCAATAAAAGTTCAGTAAAATTGATTTTTTCACGTAAATATTTTTTACGTAAAATTCATTTTCTTATTGGAAAAATTTTCTAAAAAAGATATATTTATAAAAATACTGTCTTTTTACTATAAAAGTTCTATTAAATATTAAAAAAGTATTTAAAAAGAATCTTATATATTCATATATGCAATATTTCTGTTAATAAATTAAATACTAATATATTCAACAGTATATACATATACATACATATATATATATAATATTTTATATTATTGTTGAATCTTTACTTCTTAGTTCTTTTTAAGAGTTTTTAATAATTAAAGACTTTTTTATTATATGATTAAAGAGAACTAATTTGTACATTTATATCTGAACGTATGTGCATATATAGATCAATACACACATACATACAGAGATTAATTATAGCTTATATCACAGATATAAATAGATAATCAAAAGTATAACATTCGAATAATAATTGTCAAGACATTAGCTCTTGATATTAATAAATCACAGATAGAAATTTCCAAAAAACAAAGCAAATTTAATTTATACACGTAAGTCAAAGCATACGAAGTAATTGTAAAATTTCCTATTTGCACATTACAAGAATGAGAAAAGAGATATAGGTATATATATGTTAGGTATATCGCGCTATAAATATATGGAGTTAAGGGAGCTAAATTTATCGTTATGGGAAAAACTGAGATATATTATATATAAAAAAATATAAAATGCAAGTTATAGTGTCAGACGCTTCGTGCAGACGCGCTGTCTCGACCCAAGTCGCGTAATGCGGTTACTTGACGAAAAATAAAGTCGGGCAAGCCGCCACCGGAGGATGAGTATCGTCATCGATCCTCCGGTCCAACGCCCCGGTATCTATTTTCATACCGTCTAACCTATTTATATATCATCATACGAATAACGTTCCACTTGTATCGGTGCACACCGGCGCATCGACTGAAGCGACATTTTAACACCTTAATCCTATACTAGATCCAAATTTGCTTGTCAAGAGAATTATTTAAATTTTCAGGAATTATTGCAAAAGAAAAGATTCAGGAATCTTTTTCTTAAGAATTTTTATATAATTTATTTTAAGATATTCTATTATATTATTTATTGTCCAAAAATAGATGAGATGAAAAATACAGATTAAAAACATTAATAAAAATTCAGATTTATTTTTATTTGGTACCACATCAATTTATGGCCTGTGCATAAATTAATTTTTCTTGAAACCGATGCACTCTTTCTAGAGTTCGTTGAAATTTAAATACAATGTAAGTAATAAAAATTTATTCTACAAAGAATTAGAAATAAATTCCCATCCAAATCTTCGAAATTGCTTTATATTCCTTCGATTCTTTTCTGTGTTTTATCATTTTTTTATTTATTTATTCTTATTTCAATATTTGAAAGTAAAGACTTTACTTTTAATGTTGTTAATTAATTATTAAATAGCGATAATGTATCAGAAGTAAAACATAAAAAGGATTGAGAATTTTCACAAGCAACTTTTTATTATGAATTTATTCAGGGTTGTATAATTGTATAAGCTGAAAAAGGATAAATTTTTTTTAATTCACTTTAATCTTTTTAATTCGTTTTTATAGGATTTCATCACCTAACTAATTTCGATACATTTATCTTTCAGGGGATCAGGACAATTACTGATTGTGTAGGCGTGCGGATTTACGACAAAGTCACTCAGAGCATTTCGACGGTGGGGTTCTGCGTACACTTTACGATGTTGCATGATTGCCCTCTGACGTCAAAGAAAACGCTCCCCGATGCTTTCACGTATATGTACCAGAAAGAGAGGAGAGGAGTTCGCGAGAAAGAGAGAGACAGGACTAAAGGTCGTTCAACCCCGTCATTGGGTTCAAACGCCTTTCCTGGAGCGGATGCAACCTATAAAAACGTGGCGATGATAAGGACGAGAATGCGCGCGATTGTGTGTATGTGTATGCGCGCTGGGACACTTCTCTCGTTTATTAGATGTCGCAAATAAACCTCCGTGTCTCTCGAATGCAGAGGAGAAAGGGTAGAACTGGTTTTCTTAATTCACGCCGTAATTAGCCGGCTCTAATAAAAACGCGCGGCGCGTCGACCTTTATCGCGACTCTTAATCTCGAAACGATTTTAAATCTGAAATCGCCGGAGTAATCCGAACGAATGCTCGTTCCGCGAGTTATTCTCGGAATTGACGACACAGACACACGTATATGCGATTTCCGATAATTAAGAATATAATCGGCACTATTTCTATGTTTGTCGATAACTTTAACGTAAAAGTTGCATTTGTGTGTGAAGAAAGTAGATCGATAACATTTCGAATTAGATGTGCTTCTGTCTAGGATATCTCTCATTTATATTGCATTAATCTATTCATTCATTCTAATAATAGTAATTATTTATGTTATAATATATAGCATTGATTATAAAATTATATGCAATTTAAAAAATTATATGTAGGTTAAACACATACAGTATGATTTTAAATTTAGGATATTTTAGAACTATAAATAAAAAATTATTCAATATTATAGTCATTACAAATTGTACGGTCAAATTGATTATTAAAAAAAATCAAGGCATATCATTTTCAGCGGATAATAAAAAAGCGAAAATTAAAATACTTTACACAAAATAGCTTCAAGAGAAAAATTTTAACATATTCTTTCAATTTTAAAATAAATTCTAATTTTAGATGTATTTGCAATCATATATAAAATATTTAAAAAATTAAAAACACGTAGAGAAGAAAAAGAGAGAGATGCAAAATAAATGGTGTGACATTTTATATTTTAATACAGAAAAATTTCTAAATTAATTAAAATGTCTGTAATTTTTTAAGAAAGAATATTCAGTGATAATTGAATATTTATGTATAGTACAAAAAAAAGAAATAAATATTTTTTACAATATTTGCAACTGTTCCAAATAATGTTTCATTATTTTATCATAATTTAATCACGAAAGAATTATGCAATATAATATAATAGAACGAGCGTAAGAGTCTACAGTATTATCTTCTTTCTTAATTCGTAATTATAAATTATGTAATTGTACATTATAGATAGATTTCAGGAAGAAGAAAATTATCATAAATTATATTATATGTAATAAGAAGTAACAAAACAAAATAATCGTATCTTATCCTTATATATAGGTTGCTTTTATTTTTCTTTTTTTCCAATATGTGTGTTTTCCTTAAAAAATAAAAGATACTTCTCTCTTTCTCTCTTTCTGTTCGTTCTAGAATAATAAATATAGTCGACGGGGGCGCGGATCTATTTCTGACCGAGGGTTAATATTTGATGACGACACGGTTGCTGCCAGTGTATCTAAAAATACGCAATCAATACGGCCAACTACATGTTAGAATTAAGCTTGCGCACGTGTTCGCGCGTGTGTATTTGTATATGTGTATACTTTAAGACTATCAACCCTTGTGTCAAAGGATTAATTTCGTATAAACACGCATATGTAAAGCTTCAAATTTGACTCAGAAATGTACATAATATTAAACTCGCGTGTCATGTAACACATTAATAATATTACCTAACAATGGAAGATTGTACAAGATAATCGAGGACAAAAAGTCAATTTTCTGTATTTAACTGCAATGGCTTCGAAAGTAATTTTTGATGCTAATTACTTATTTATTATAATGTAATTAGCATATGTCAGATGAAAGATTTTTATATAAGAAGCAAAATTTGCGTTAATAATTTATAAAGATAATTTTTCATCTCCTTTTGACAAAATTTCTTTATCAATTTTATGATAGAAATATTTTAAATGAATCAAATTACATAATGCATATTCTATTATAAAAAATTTTTGATATGCGGTGTACATATATGTATATATACAAATATATGCGATATAATCAAATGCATGAAATCGTCGTGCATAATGTACTATAAACATCGCTGTAAATGTTGCTTACACAAAAATCATAGCTTTTCAAAAGCAACGAGTCGCGGTTTTTACGACACCTGGCAGGCGCTTCAATCGCGATACATTCGCGTTTACATACCTTTGAAATCTTTCTGGTTCGACTCAACTGCTAAAATTGTATGGGTAAGAAAGGAAGGGAATAAAAACAAGACTCCGAATAAATTGCAAAGGCAATTTCGAGACATTTTATACGCGAACAAATTCCGCGAACAAAGCGCAAACACTAATATTAGATTCTATAAGGCTTCTGTAACGAGGCATCAACAACGAATGTGCAAGCATAATGATCGCGTCGCGGTTACGCTAATTTGATTTTCCAACTTAAGAAAATTTCCGGAAGTACATTGCAATCCGCCGGCATATAACAGTTGTTTGTTTCCAAGATTTCTGCGACTCTGTTTTGTAATCACGTTATATGAAATCGGTCTAAAACCATTCTTCATCTATACTATGAAATATATACCAGGCGTCGTAAAATGTTTCGCAATAAAAATAAAAGAAAAACTTATAATTCTAAAATATTTCAATATTTTTACACACAAAATAGCCACTTTAAATCTTCAATTATTTCGCATATTAATGTCTTAAAATGCGTATATAAAGTACACAGTAGGAAAATTTGTGTTTTCTGTTAAAAACGGTACCCGTTAAAATTTTTGTGTTAAATATTTAACACATTCATGTGTTAATTTAACATATTGCTGTTAATTGAACTTAAATATTAAATTATTAAAACAACTGAAAAAAGATGTACAAGTATAACACAATGTGCATCTATTTTTAATTTTACACAACAAATATGTTCTGTTTTATTAGTGACAAATTTATCTGTTAAAATTTACAAATAAATGTTGATTTTTTATTTTATAATACAAGTAGGGATAATAAAATTATATTTTTATATAAAAACTATGTTAATTTTACACAAAATAAATTTTATTTTAAATTACTTGAAGTTTTGCATTTATTTTGTGTTAAAATGTTAACACAATATTTGTGTCTCCATTTAACATATATAAAAATTTCTGTGGACTGTTTGGGACATTCCTTATGAAAATTTATTACTATAGTAAGTCCAAGTATATTGCCTCTGAAAAGAATTAAAAAATGAATTTTCTACCTTGACGCCACATATTGGAAAGCTGCTGTTGATTCCGCTAAAGTCTCCATCATCTTCGAAGAAGACCTTAAAGATGCAAATACAGCGTGTACCGGCGTGATCGGACATTTCTAATTGAATAGGAATTTCCGTACCGAACCTATTTCGCGCGCGAGATTGATCTTACTGTAATCACATCACAACGACACAATACACCACAATTTATACATCGACACACGCGGTCGCACTTATATCTTCAATGTCTCATAGTTATACATTGATTTATACCTTTTATCGTATCAAAAATTACGAAAAGTAACGGAGCTTTACGCGCACTTTTATTGCGATAGATCGACCATTGATTAATCGATTGATAGAGAGAGGGCGCCACTGGATGGACGTCGCAACTTTAAAGGCATATTTACACAGATGAATTTGCATTACCGTAAACATATACATAGATATGCATTATAAAGAAATTGACCAAATGTTAAATATTTAAAGATGTCATTATTGATATCGCGTTTTTCAAATAATACGTGATTTATTATTTTTTGCATATGCATCATGTGACTACACAATAAATTTATTTAAAAATATAATTCACAAATATAATGCATACATGTACCGTAATCATCACATCACAACGACATAATACATCATCATTTATACATCAACACACGCGGTCGCACTTATATTTTCAATGTCTCATAGTTATACATTGATTTATACCTTTTATCGTATCAAAAATTACGAAAAATAACGGAGCTTTACGCGCACTTTTATTGCGATAGATTTACCATTGATTAATCGATTGATAGAGAGAGGACGCCACTGAATGGATATCGCAATCTTAAAGGCATATTTACACAGATAAATTTGCATTACCGTAAACATATACATAGATATGCATTATAAAGAAATTGACCAAATGTTAAATATTTAAAGATGTCATTATTGATATCGCGTTTTTCAAATAATACGTGATTTATTATTTTTTGCATATGCATTATGCGACTACACAAATTTATTTAAAAATATAATTCATAATTATAATGCATACATGCACATATCTCTACTATTAGATGATTCATGATTTTTAAACAATTTAGATATCACATTTCGCAAAAATAAATTATCCCAATATATACATATATCCTTACTTTTATTTTATCAATATTATCTTTTTCATTATTATAAAAAAACGAATGTTTTTCTTTAAATAAATTTATTTACTTTCAAGAATAATCTCCTGATTATTCTCATTATCATTAACAAGAGATACATACTTTAATTCCATCTTTTTTTATTTTATTAGTCAGCACACATATATTAATTTATGCAAGATAAAAGATAATTAATAAAAAAGGTAAAAATTAAAATTTACATTGATCTGCTGACAGAAATATATTTAGTTCATTCTTTATCTATTTAATACTAACTAATTGTAAGAGTATTAGGAATTACTTTTTCTTATAAAAATTATTACAAAATGTTACTCTTGTCTTTATTTATTATGAGAATAGTGTAACAATGTATATCAATATAAAAACAAAAAATATTTTATGATCATCGCAGTCACAACGCATTCGTATTCAGATATCTGCAAGAATTTCCGGGCTATTGTTTAGTTAAATGCGGCCATGAACTCTGAAAAGACCATGACTATTCCCGGTTAAACAAAATCAATATGCATTACAGAGCATAGCCCCGTTGTGAGAAAACAAAGCTATCTCTAATACCAAGATGTAATATCGTGATGACGTCAAAATCGCCATGGTAACTCCCTTAGTACACCCACACCATGTGGTTGCATCAAATTTAATTTAACAAAATATAAAAATTATTCGGACTAAAAAATGCTCTTACTAGTGTTTTATGATTGTGTTAATCATTTCGTAAGAATTCTTATACATATACACGTAGAAAAAGAGAAAATAAAATTACAATTTGCTACAAATATATATATATATATATATATATATATATATATATATATATATGTATATAAATATACCATAATCTCTATATGTTATAAATAGATATAAATATAAATAAATATAATATATATATATATATATATATATATAAACATACTAAATATGTATCTACATATATGTATATATTATGTATATTTTAATATTATTATATACATTATATATAAATATATTTATATCTGTACAGTTATTTATATGCAGCTAAAAAATTATCTTTGTCCCTTTAAATTTAAATGAAACACATTCATTATTGAATAAACAATAATTAAGCAAGTTTCTTTACACTTAAAAAAATTGCATTTGTAATAAAATAATAAACTTAAGTAAGAATAAACTTTTCAAATTGTGAATTGTATATTACAGTCAAATATAATATGTATGTTTGTTGTGTGTAAGAAACTATCTAATAAAAACTTTTTCTTTTACTTAATTCTACTAATTTAAATATACGAAAAAAATAAATTATTTTTCAGAATCATCTTCCTTAGTACTAAACATTGTCCATATCTTTTCAAATTCGTTTATAAATGGTTTAACTAGTCTTGTCTCATTTGTCACCATCAAATTTTCAAAATTTCCAAAAAATGCTGCCATAGTCCAATTTACACTGCCAGTTATTAAAATATTATTATCAACAATAATAAATTTATGATGCATCAAGACATTTAGTTGTTTATACTTCGGTATAATGCCTGCAAATATAAAATAATATTAACTATAAAATTATCACATCAAATCTATATTTGATGACAATTTTAAATTATACTATTCTAGCTATATACTTCTTATTAAATATATAATTTTGATATTTGTTACAAACCTGTTTTGTGTAACAACATGATTGGTTTTCCACTATTATGTGGTAGAGTTGATTCATCCAATACCATCCTTACAATAACACCTCTTTTGTGAGCATTTATAATTGCAGTTGTTAAGTATAAAGAAGTAAAAAAATACATACATATGTCCAAAGTATCAGTTGCAGAATCCAAATAATCTATAAGTTTCCTATGAATATGTTAAATATATTTAGCTAGACTGCATTAAGGTATATATAAATAAATAATTTTGTCTTATTTTATATTGTACTGAAAAAGTTACCTAAAGTATCCTACTGCACAATCTGTCTTTTCACATATTTCTTGGCATGTAAGATGTGATCGGCATAGAGTAGAGTCTTTTGAAAAAAACATGACTTCAAAGATTTCTGCTTTGTCTTTTGTATTTTTATATTGTTTTACACAACCATTGAAAACCTTAACAGCTTTCTTTGAAGAGTGTCTATATGCCTTATATAGTCTCCAAATTACCTCTGTCATTAAAATACCAGACGTTACTATAATAATAGTTTTCATTTTCAGAATTTCTATTATGTAAAATAACTTCCAGTTTTGCTGCAACACATAATACATATTTACACATTTAAAATTTAACTTCTCTTAGCTTTCTAATTTAGCAAATAACATCAGACATTAATATCTTAATTTAGCAAATACTAGAAATTCTTAATAATTCTAACATAAAAAATAATTCCTTTATTATTATTTAATATTAATATCATTAATATACTATTTTATATTATTAAATATATTTCTTTTTTATTTAAAATTTGCAAATAAAATGAAACATTGTTAACAATCTTTGATTCTAAAATCGTCATAGCATTTGTTAATGATTATTTATATCACAAGTCATAAGATATCTTGTATATCTATTTCAAACAGCTTTTTTATATTTATATCAAAGATAATAATTACAGATAAGATTTGACGAAGACGTATAATCGAAATAAAAATCCTGAAATAAATATACACGCATGCATACACATAACACTATACACATGCGTACTATAATAAAATCTTCATAGAAAGGAAGTTAAATTGGAAAAGACCTCACTGTGCGCCCTCTGTACAAACATGTCAAAAGGAAACGACAACGAATCTGATTGGTTGCTCCATATTGGTTCCATTCCAACATCTCGAATCGCCTTGTACGTCATTCGAGATATATCGATTCACAAGTTTTTGTTTCCTCATCAAGACTGCATAATTTCCATTAAATTAATTACGTATACACACGCATAACACGTACACTTTCAAATAGAAAGCCACGCCTTTCTAAACATGACAGATGTGACAGTTTCATCGCACATATCATCGTAAAATAATCTCAAGTAAAGGAAAACTCGAATCGTCGTCGCTCGACGCTCGAGTTTCGATAAGATATATCGAGACTTTGGCAGGTCCGAGAGCGAAGATGTCTGCCGGTGCGACAGAACAGAAAATTGTTAGTCGATCAGTCGGCCGTGTTTGTGAGTAAATAAGCAGCTGAATGCGCAGCGCGATTCTGTGACGGTGCGCTGACGTGCGAAGAGCGTAGAATAATCTCGTCCAGATATTGAAGAGAGCCGCAGGAATGGGTCTCTTCCCGACTTCCTCGCCTTTCGACGCTGACGTGGGTGAGTAATACTGTGACGGCTCGCGCTTTTCGTCCTTCGTAATGAATCATGACGAGTGTCGGCGAGTCATTCTCGTTGCTCTCGTTGCTTAATTATCACGAATCCGAAATTATCGGGGTCTGTTCTCCCCGGCCTTAGTACGATGAGCAAGCTCTCGCGTATTAAGCGGTTGTTGACATTTGACCTCCAGTTATGTCGCTGGATTTTTAACGCTGGCTGGCCGTTCTTTTAGTACTTTGTATTCGAGTCTCTTTGTTTGTTCTTTACGCGAACGATTTTATGCACGAAATAAAATAATAATGATTTTGTCGATGCTTAATGACAGTTCGTTACTTGACGTTTTGATTAGAAGTAATATAGTATGATTATAGGGAGTATTCGTTCTTTTGTCGCATTATCTACCTATCTACCATGTTTGTTTTAATCATTCTGTTATGATATCTGTTTCAATTATTGCAATCTTTGTTACAATTGCTACCATTATGTAGTTTTATTAAGAAACATTCGCTACTATTTTAATTATGTATGTCATTAAATATTTGTGATATATTATTTTTTATTATTATTGTTCATATGACATCAGAAAAAGCAACTAATGAGAACAATGTAACGGAGGAATGGGGAAAGATAATGGATATCTGTGACAAAGTAGGCACCTCCAGTCAGAATGCTAAGGACTGTTTACGTTCCATTGTTAAGAGATTGTACTGTCAAGATCCACATGTTGTTATGCAAGCTATAACAGTTAGTAGATTGTTCTTTTAAAAAAAGAAACTTAATTTCTTAATATTCTATCAAGTTTTGAATTATTTATTTTTTATTTAGTTGTTAGATGCTTGCGCCAGTAATTGTGGAAAGATTTTCCATTTGGAAATTGCATCCAGAGAGTTTGAAAATGATTTGAGGAAACTCATTAATCATCCACAACCAAAAATAGTGGAGAAAATCAAAGTGCTTTTGAAGAAATGGGTAGAAGGTGACTTTAAAACGGATCCACAATTGAATCTGATACCAAGTTTGTACAATAAACTCAAAAGTGAAGGCCATGACTTTTCTTCAGTGTCAGATACAGTGAGTTTCTATTTTATTGCATTATTGAGTTTGTTTCATTAGCTATAGAGATGTAAATTATTTGCATTTAGTGCAAAGTCAAGTATTGAATTGCAAGACAGAACATTATTTAAATGTCAGATAAGACTATCAGTTGTTGATACTGCCTGTTTCTCTTTTGAACTCTTGTATCATATCTTATAGTTTATAACTCATTTTAGATGTATTTTAAATAAATTTTGATTAAAAAACATTATTTTTGATTATATTATTTTTTTTTAATTTTCTATTTATAAAATATCTTTTTCAGCCGAAACGTTCTAGTGCTCTGAGCAGAGATCCTAACGTAGTAACGAATTCACAAGAAGAAGCCGATATTGCGAGAGGTAATATATAATTTAATTTTAAATTTTTGTACACTAATAACGTTTCAAACTTATTTCTGTTGTGTGTATACATACACATACATATATATATATATATATATATATATATATATATACTTATTATACAGTTGATATTTTTTTAAATAGCCATACAACTTTCGTTACAAGAAAATAAAGCACATACTCAAAGCACCTCATTGCATAGCTCACCAGCCTCTAAAAAGAGTGCTAGTTTATATCCAAGTATGAATTCTGTACTTGCATCTACAAGTACCTCGGAAGGTAGAAAAGTACGTGCTTTATATGATTTTGAGGCTGCGGAGGATAACGAACTGACATTTTTAGCAGGAGAAATAAGTATGTAATAATAATTATAATGCAAGACAATATACATAGATATATGAAATTTCTTTCTAACTGTGAATTCAACTTTCTAGTTAATATTTTGGATGATTCTGATCCAAATTGGTGGAAAGGTAGCAATCAAAGAGGCGAAGGGCTCTTTCCCTCCAATTTTGTTACTGCTGATTTATCTGTTGAACCAGAAGAATTTACTAGTAAGATATACTAGATAAATAATTAATTTTCTCCAATATATTTTTTAAAATTAAATTATTTAAAATTATTTATTGCTTATAATTGAAATAATATATGAATGTATTTATGTACAGAATTAGAACATAGTAATAAGAAGTTAGTGCAATTTGCGGAAGAAGTAGAAGTAAAAATGGTGAAGCGTGAGCCAGAGGTGGTAGAAGTTGAAATAGATGAAAAGAAAATGGATAGATTAATACATCTGTTTCACGAAGCTGATCCACAATGTGATACGTCCGATCCTCAGGAAATGCTTGATTTAGAAGGTAACTATAAATTTTAACAAAAACATCAAATTAAAATTACAACCATTTGTTATTATATTCTTATCGTTGTATTTTGTAGAACAAGTTACTGCAATGGGGCCTCTGATCGATGCAGCTTTGGAGAAGGTAGACAGGCGGCATGCGCAGCTTACTCAATTAAGTTCTGATTTGGTTGATGCTCTTAATTTGTATCATACTTTGATGAGAGAGCCCGCACCTCCAACGCCGTCTGGTTACACTTTGCCCAAAATGCAACCACATATAAGTCCTTATCCATTCCACAATCCGGGACCACCACCACCACATGTGAGTTTATAGACGAAATCAAATAACGTTGCCTATAATAGTATTTGACATTTATGTATATCTTATAACATATATAATATATATATCTTTTAACAGATGTTTAACGGCATGCCTTCTCCATTCTCCACTGGAGCCGGCTCGGGCCCTGTAGGTCCATATAATGCGAGCTTGCCGAACAACGAGTACATGGGTCCTACTAGTATCCCGAGCATGACTTTGCCGCAACATTTTCACATGCAATCGGGACCTCATCAACATCCGCCTGGACATCCACAGGGGTCATCTCTACCACCGCCTGATCAAAGTAGCCTTCCTTATCAACAAGGGTACTTAATTTATTTTCCTTTTATCATGATATTGATTTCACAAAATTTACTGTAATAAAAATGTAGCCATAATGTGAGGAATATTATCACTTCACATTTATTACATAGATATTTGCGATACTTAAATTAGATTTTATTAGTAATATTAAATGTTATAAAAAAATACTTTTTCTCTTAATTTTTTTAATATAAAAAAATTAAAATTTAATATTAGCAGATATCCACCTCAGAGCGGTCCAATACCTGGGCCATATGGTCCACCTGGGCCTTCAGGACCGTCTGTAAATCAACAATCGCAATATGCTCCTCCGAATGGACAACACATGATGTAAAGCAAAACTGTGCGTTACGCATTCATCTTGTACTCTAACTCAAGTTCTGTACAATATATATATTACTATATTATAATTATTTAAATAAACATACCCAAAGTAGCCAAAGATAATGGGTTTTTAATAAAAATTTTATGTTTAAATCTACATATAAGCACTATTGACACTATTGTTTAGCTGCATATATGCAACTAGAAAAAGCAAAACGTGACTTACATTGTGACTACATCACATTTATATTAATTTTGTGATTATTAGATATTTATTGTTTAGACTGTTCAATTTTAGTTTATACATTCCTTCGGCTCGTTTGGTTTTCGTTATTTTATATATGAGAATTATTACATATTTTAATGTGTATTATATACATATTTTAAATATATTTCTATTATAATTATATATATACTTATATATGTGTATATATATATATATATATATATATATATATATATATATAAAGAAAATTAATTCATATTTTTTTGCATATTTAAGTTAAACTTTGTCGTACATGTGTCATAAATTGTTTATAAATTTATTTTTAATTAATAAGTTTGCAAAGTCATAAACTATATGATGGGTTTTAAAATATAAAAAGTTGGAATGTTTTGTAGTTTTCTACTCTGCTATTAAATCTTGATGAAGTAATTGCCAAACGAGGATTGCAGTGTAATTACTAAAAAAAAAGAAAGAAAATGAAATTAAAGAGATGTTACAATCACAAAAAATGTTAAAACGCTTATAATTGTTGAACAATGGTTGAAATGATTTTCGAAACAACTTTTGCAAGAAAACGTCTCAATGTGGTCTAGTCTATCTATTGTATACAATAAGACTAATTCCTATTCATCGTTAAAAAGGACAGCGAGACTGCGAGAATTTTTTATGGATTGTTAATACATAATAAATACGTATAATGTATATATATTTATGACGAAATGTCTCTGCTTTTGTCTAGAATACAGGACATATTGTTATAAATTAGTCAAAATTTTTAATTTCTAATATAAATATGAGAGCGATGTAAAAGAGGAGAGAAGAAGAACATAAAAAAGAGATACACAATGGTAATGCGTGCAAAATTTAAATGAAAGTGTAATTTAAGGCATAATATTTATAGGGCATAAATATTTATAATATCGTATATTGTATACTATATCTAAGCGAATAAAAATGGCAACGAGATAGAGATTAAAAGCGACAAAAATAATAAATAAATGTTATGAACAGGCGCAATTTATGCTATGTATATTAAGTTACCATTAAACTGACTTTATTTATATAATCTATTATCACTTTTTTATATTTCTCCTCTTTTTCTCATATATGAATTTGTTAAATTATGTAAATAGCAAACATAAAATACATTTTTTTAAATGTATTTTATGTTTGAAATATATTTTATTGTTTGTCTTTAATTCGTTTTTTCCTATATTACAATTATATTAACAAAATCTTCAGAAAAGAAATGCTCTAAAAGCAATATGAGAAAATATTTATTATTTATATACTAAGTCACTAAAGTTATAAATATTAACTATTACCTCAATAGCGATTTTATATAGAAATTTAAAAAAATAATATTAAATGTACGATTAAAAAATTAAGTAGGTGTATTAAGGGACAATTTTATTTAAAATTTCGCGCGTGATGTAGCGAGATATCTCGATCCGAAAGTATCGATGGAAAAGCGTTGCTTACTTCATAATGGAGAATCGCGAGCGTGCGGCAAGATAGATTTTGGCTGAATTGCGACGCATTTAAGTGAAAATAAGAGGTAAATCATAATTATAATTATTATATTTCATTAATTTGCGACTGCGTAGCTATAAATTACGGCGTCGAGCGACGTATGGCATAGCGTTGTTTACGCACAATCTCATTATTAATTGCCATTCGAATGTATGTTGCGGGTTAACAATAACGCGGCGTCGTATATTAATTTTCGAGACGTGCGATCATAATTACATATACGCGCGATATCATAATTACATTATAAGTTGATTAGTGAATATCAATCCGTGCAATTATTTAGTTCGATTATAAATGATTAAACGTATATATCACAGCGACGACTATATTTTTGTCGAACAAAATATTTTGCGTGCGCTTTATTATGCATCTACTTGATGAGTTATTGGTTACGAAGCGATATGAATTTATATAAATCATTATTTGTCTCGCAATATATATATTTACAATAATTATCATTTGTCATATATTAAAATCTCATCATATTTTAATTATTTTCGACCGCGTATAGCGTATAAATAATACGATATTTGATTATTGAGGATTTGTTAATCTGTTAATTTTTGCTGTTGGTGTGCATGCAAGATTAGTGCGTAGGAAGATCGAAAGAGGGCGCGAGCATCGCGTGTTTCGCGCGCTTTTCCGGTTCCCGCATTTTTCCCCTCTATTGCTCTATTATCAAGTGCACATCATCAACCATGAAAGTCGGAAACGCTGTGTTAAAAGTATCGGCCGCTTATTAATTGTATTTGAGGGTGATTAGTCCGGGCGCACGCAATTAATTATTTTTACGAGTGCGCGCTTAATTGTAATAATGAATTGTTTTTGTTAGGGAGTACGAAGAATATAAGTAGCAACAGCGAAATAAGAGAGAAGGAAAAAGTCCGGGGCGGCATCAAGTAACGGCAGAGGTAACATATATATGAAGTTAATAACTTATTATTAATTTATTATTGCTTATAACAAATTCAATAAAAGAAAAATTTTAATACGCGCATTTATTTAAATGATTTAAACAAGAGAGATATTGAACAAAATATTTTTACATAAAAATCTTATAAAGATTTTAATTAAAAAAGAACAATTTTTCTAAAATTTATTTAATTATAATAAAACTTAATTATACATATATCTGTTTTATTATTGTACACATTGAATTTTATATTCAAGCGTACAAAATAATAATTTTCTGAACTATTAAATTATTTATTATTTGAGCACTGCTATACAATTTAGGTTTAATTTATATATTACAGATATCGAACGTAGTTGACGACATCGACAAATTGAGAGGAAAGGAGGTCTGAAAATAAGGCATCAAGTGTCACAAAAAACTATAATAAAGTGAGTATATTTATTATTTATTTGTTAATTATATTAAGTCAAAATTTATTAGTTGTATATTAAATCAAACTATAAAATTATTTAATTATTTTCTTACTACACATAGAAAATAAAATCGAATAAAATCTAATAATACATATAATAATATAATAATAATTGTTTAAAACATTAATTATCTTGATCGCTATTACAATTTTTATTCTATTTGTTACAGATCAACAATTGACGACACCGACAAATGGTGAGAGGAGGAGGCCTAGGAAAGGCATCTGGCGCCGGTCAAGGAACTCTAAAGTGAGTATTATTATTTATTTATTAGTATTATTATTAGTATTAAATTAAAATTTATAAAATTATTTAATTATTTTCTTATGATTGTACGCATAAAAAATAAAATTTAATAAAATAATAATTGTTTGAAAAATTAATCTTGAACACTACTACTATAATTTTTATTCTATTTATATGTTACAGGTCAACATATATAGCTTGCAGTCAACGATTGGTGAATAACAAATTATTATTTTATGAGATAATGGTTTTGTAGTAATTAGAGTGTAGATCTAGGTAGTGTAAATTGTAGACTGTAGTGTAGATTGTAAATGTTATATAGTTCCGTTATCTCAAGTAGAGCATAATTAAACACATATATCTGATATGACATATAATGACCAACACAAAATTGTGCTATTGAACCATTATTTTATATAATTTGCGTGCATATCCTTGCGTTGTACGATGCTAAACAACGTACACATGACATAGAAATATTGAACGTGAGGAAAGATTATTAGCGTATATCTAATATTAAAATAGCATTCCTAATAATTCCTATATACTTTGCATTTAATATAAAACTTATAATATAATTGAATTTTATATATTCAATATATAAAGAATACTAGCATTCCCCCCTTTTTAAGAAAGTATGTAAAAAAGGAAGATACTTTATATCTAAGACTAAAATATCATTTCTATATACTTTGCATTTAATATAAAGCTCATAATATAATTAATTTTATATATTCAATACAAAGAATATTATATAGCATTCTCCTCTTTTTAAGAAAGTATGTAAAAAGGAAGATATTTTATGTAAGATATTAATTAATTGAACAGGCACAAGACATTCAAAATGCAAAATGTCATGCGTTTAAATGCCGGGAGTGTCGTATAATGTAAAATCGCGCGCTTAAGGGATTACAGTTTAAAAGTATCGCGTGTTTTGGTGCGGGAGTCTAAAATCTAAAATGTCGAGCGTTTTAGTGCGGGAGTATCGTTTGAAGTATCGCGTGTGTAAATTAAAGACAATTGACATTTGACAATCCTGAGAGGAGGAATGGGCCTCGGGCGCCAGCGGAGCAACCTTGCGGTAAATATTTATTTGTATAATACTTTTGTTATAAATTACATGTATGTTAATTTTATTTTTATATTTGAAAGGCTTAAACAATAAAGAATTAGAAAAAAATACTCTTTTATGAAAGTTCATATAAAAGTTTATTTAAAAAAATAGTCTTAAAAATTGTTAAATTTAATCAATTATATATTGTTGATTATTGTAGACATAAAATTCAATAGGTACAATAATAATTTTTAACAATATTAATTATTTTACTCTGCTATAATTTGAATTCTATTTGTATGTTACAGATCAACGTAGCTACGATGCAGTGACTCAACTCCGCTGTTGTGCATCGGTTGGTGAGTGAATTATTATTTTATTACGAGGTAACGGTTTTGTAGAAATTAGATATGTAGATGTAGATTGTAGAATGTAAACTGTAGATCCGTTACCTCAAATAAATTATTCAATATTAGATATTTTATTATATTTATTCACCGAATATTCACCGGAAACATCAATAACACGGCTGTGAAAAATGATGAGAAATATTATCATAAAGTTTACCAATTCATCTGACCAGAAATTGCATTTTTATTAGTTGTATATATTTATTTTTTATTAATTTGCGTGCATATTCTTGCGTTGTACGATGCGAAACAACGTACACATGAAGAACGTACACATATAGAAATATTGGACGCGAATATTCTTACAATTAGCTTGTGAAGAAAGATTATTGGCGTATATCTAAGACTAAAATATCATTCCTATATACTTTGCCTTTAATATAAAGCTTATAATATAATTAAATTTTATATATTCAATACAAAGAATATTAGCATTCCCCCCTTTTTAAGAAAGTATGTAAAAAAGAAAGATACTTTATGTAAGATATTATTTAATTCAGTATATAATGTAGTATATAGTATAGAATAATGTAGAAGATAATAAAAAATATTGAAAAACCATGACATATAATATAAGATATAAGACTCGACTTTAAGATTAGGACAAAATTAACTTTTGCTGCTAGTGATTAAAGCATAAAAAATTAAAGAACATTGTTTAAAAATATATACAAATACATTAATAAAAATAGTTCTCCGTTTGATAGTACGAAATATTGAAGAAAGACGTGACATAATATTATTTAATTGTATGTAATACATTATATACTGAATTAAATAATCTTACGTTATCGTCACGTCTTTTTTAAATATTTTTTACTATCGAACAGATGAGGACCATTTTTATTAATGTATTTGTATATTTTTAAACAAGCTTTTTCATTTGTTATGTTTTAATCATTAGCAGCAATAATTAATTTTTTCCTAATCTTATACAGTCGAGTCTTATACCTTACGTCACGTCATGTTTTTTCAATATTTTTTCATTATCTCTCGGAGAGTCATTTCATTAATACATTTCTATATTTTTAAACACGTGCTTACATTTTTTGAAAATTTTAATCAGTGTCCACCTCTGTCATGTTCCCAACTCTGTCGTCCGTCTAACTTTGTTGTGTGTACTTATTACTCTTTCTCATGTGTGAATTTAGTTGTGCTGTCTGTACACATGACTATATTTTTGTACATATACATTGAACATATGATTTTATTGCATATATGCACCGATTAAAACTTTAATGAAAAAAAGATCGTATTTATAATGGGGAAAATCACTATAGAAGCCAAAAATTAAGATCTTTTGTGAATTTACATAATTTTCTCTCAACATTTACAAATAAACCTTAATTTTTTCGGTTTCTACAATGATGTTTCTTCCTTTAAATATATAAAACAATATTAATACAAAATATTTTTCCATTTTATAATATAAAATACTTAAGAAGCTCGTGACATAACGTAGCGTAACGCGCAAAATGCGCGTCTGTGTTCTAGTTGTAATAAAAAATAGGACTCTAGGATTATCTTCAGTTGTTAACTTTTTATGTTTACTTTTTTTAGAATCTTTATAATTATAAAATTGCTTTAATTTTACTAAAAATTATTTTATATCTTCTGTAATTTTTTACATACAACATTGGTTGTATTTATAGACAGATTTTTCGCAATACGCTATTTACCATTCTTAACTAAACAACTTAATGACCAGGGTGTCTAGCGATTAAAAAATCTGGAAAACCGGGCATTGTCAGGGAATTTTATAAATCTGGAATTGTCAGGGAAAAGTCAGAAAATTTTAGTATTTATCTGGATTTTTTCACATTATTCTACATTTGTCTAAATAATTTGAAATTTTTATTACATAACTATAAACATTTCCTTGGCTCCCAGCACGCTAATTTTCTATGTTGTTAAAACTCGATTCATCTACAGCGTGTTTGTTAATTTATATTTTATTTCAATGTTGTGTTATTTTATTTCAATGTGTTTAATAGAGATAAAACTAAAAAATTTGATATAATATAAATAAAAAGGTGATTATTTAAATAGTTTATAGTGTGGCATGTTTGTTTCGATTATCGTACATAATGCAGATTGTATGATTGATTTAAATTTTTGTTTTTTTAACTTTCAAACCTTTTCATTGTTGACAAAAGTATCTCAAGGATTTCATGATTTAACATTTAATTGATTTATCATATAAATATATGCAAATTATATATTTGAAAAAAATAATAAAAAATTAGGGAAAAAATTAATATCTGGTCTTGGAAAATCTGAAAGTCAGGGAATTTTTTTCATTGAGTCTGCTGGACACCCTGAAGACGCATATCCTTGTTTCAAGTATAGACTATTGTTAATGATGAATGGATTTTCCTTATTGATTTCTAATTTCTTTCCTGTGTATGTAAAAAGGTGCTTATTAATTTTTAACCGCGTCTTGTTACTTCTTGACCTTCTCTAATATTTTTACAGCAGTAACAATTGCTTCTTACAATAATTACTTGAGAATTATTTAAAATTTTATAGTAAGTATGTAAGCATACGGAAATAATACAGTTCTCCGTAATGGAAGATTTACGATCGATAGAACAATGAATTAATGATTAAAAAATCTTGCGAATAAGTCCCGTTATTAATCATTTGTTTTCCTTATGCAACATGTGACATACATCCGTGTGCATAAATTTTAATTAATTTTTATTTTGTACTTAATCATTTTTCTTTAACTTGAATTTATATTAAATGAGTTTTAAATATTTCACAAAAAACGAGTTAAATGTATAAAAAGATAAAAAAGCGCACAAAGTCTATGCGTCTGTGTAAAAATAGTTGTCTTCTTCTATCCTCTAATCGTTTTCGAGATAAACACAATGAAATTTTTATCGGACTCACCCTGTATAATAATTATGCCATATATATATATAATTTTTAATTGTTGAATACATGATTGTTTCATGTATTCAAACTGATCTACGACCTGACATTGACGAGTGATTTTTGAATAATTACATATAAGAATTTTCTAGTGATTTTATGAATATCCATGCTTTATGTCTGGATAAAATGAGCATCACTTAACGCATCTGGTAAGTGAATAATAGCACATACTTAACATACTTAACATCTAATGAATTATTCGTTGAAACATAAGAAAATTTGTATGCAATCGCCTACAGTGTAATATAAATGTTTAATTAACATAATATTACTAATAATTATCCATGCAATTATAAGTTAATTAAAAAGTATATTTTTTAATTAATACTATAATTATAATTATTATATAATTTATTTGTTTATAATTAAATTTACATATTATTTGCATATGCTCTATATCCAATTGGATTATTTACTAATAATATATTTTTAACATAATTTTATTTTAATATTATTATTGACAATTATATTTATTGGATGTTTGCTGTTTTTTTTCGCTCGTGATTACTATTTTTGTTGCATGCATCACTTTTTATCGATTATTTATAATTGTTATATTACATTGTACCAATGATTAATATCGATCACAGCTTCCTTACAATTGTTTTGCTGATAAGATCGTTAGAATAATAACTCGATTCCCTTGGCAATGGCATTTCTTGAATCGACAATGGACCAAACAACCTTGGCATTAACATTCTAGATACTTCGGTTTCGTTTCCATATATCGTAGACAAGATTTTATGATTTTAATGATGATTATCACACAAGCAGTTATAAAATAAACAGTCATGCAATAAAGAAAAAAATTCTAGCTTTTACTCTTGGCGCTGTTTCTCTTTTATCAGCGTCTGTGATCATTCAGTATGAATATTTTTCTTCAAAGCTCTTACTTGCAGAAGAAAATGTATATAATCTGTAATGTAATATATATCTTACATATACGTAATATATATGTTACATATAAATCAGTTAATCATTATTAATTAAATAATGAAACAGAAGAAAATTTAATATCTGATATTTTCATAAAAATTACGATGATTAATAAATAAATTTTTAGTTTCAAGTTTACAAAAATATTTTATGATATTAGAAAAGTTGAAAAAATTCAATAAATAATTAATTTCTCTTGACAGTTTTTTTATATGATTAAAAAAAATTAATTTCAAGTTTTCGATCTCCAATTTTACTGCGTGATAGAATTTTAGTGTTCTAGTATCTTTGCTTTGCAAAATGTTCTAATTACATTGTTATCCTCGAATTAAAATTTTTCTATCAAGAAAAGCGCGACATGTTTACTACTTTTACTGTTCTCATATGTAGCTCAAGGCTAATGCGATTATTTTTCTAGGTCTAGGATATACATATATATAAACTCATCTTAATTCGAATTCCTCCGAATGTGTCTCGATAATCGAAATGATGAGCATAGATCGAATTTGCAATCTTTTCATGAACGTCAAAATGATTTTACTATTACTATAGTATTTCTAATAAGAAATAAGATACGTAAAATACAGCATATTAAATATAATAGAATAAAAACAGTCGGTATAATTAATCAATTAATAGATGTTTGATCATTTGCACAATATTCTTAGCTTCTTAAATATTAAAATGTCTATTTACGGAATATTTACAGTGCATAAATTACAATCCATGCATGTATGCAAGGATTAACCTTTTAAGCAGTCAATTTAAATGTGCTATGAAAATTTATATCTGCTGTCGGCGGGAGAGCAACTACTTAATTACCTGTTAAAAAAAGCTTTGATTATCTTATTTAAATATAACTAATAAATTAAAGAGACTAATAAAATGCGATACATATAGGCGTTGCAACAAAATTATTAATAATAATTTTTATTGACAAATTGTTGAACAGAATTAAATCTCATTCTCTACAAAATTATTTTAAAATAACTTTCGCATTTTAACAAAACTGTACGCGAATAAAATTCTCTTATATATAGCAAATTGCCGACGATGATTTATATCGTTAAATTATAA